TTGGGAGGCAGAGGCAGGTGTATCTCAGTGAGTTTGAGCCCAGCCTAGTCTACAAAGCGAGTTCCAGTCAGGAATGTTACACAGAGAAACCCTGTCTCGAAAACCAAACAAACAAAAAGAGTGAAATTTTAATGTGTTTGAATTTGTAAAGACTGTGGGACTTCTAAAGTTATTTGTGAGATCTTGGGGGTGAATAAGAAATGAAGGGTTGTGGCTTAATAGTGATGTGTTTGTGTGTCAAGTTGACAAGGGGTCAGTTGTGCTGGCTAGTTTTGTGTGTCAACTTGACATAAGCTAGAGTCACCAAAGAGGAAGGAGCCTCAATTCAGGAAATGCTTCCAGGAGATCCAGCTGTAAGGCATTTTCTCAATTAGTGATCAATGGGAGAAAGCCTTGCCCAGGGTGGTTGGAGCCATCCCTGGGTTGGTGGTCCTGGGTTCTATAAGAAGGTGGGCTGAGTAAGCCATGGGAAGCAAGCCAGTAAGTAAGCAGCTCCCCTTCATGGCCTCTGCATCAGCTCCTGTCTCCAGGGTCAGCCTTGTCTGAGTTCCTGTCCTGACTTCCTTCAGTGATGAACAGCAATGCTGAAGTATAAGCCAACTAAACCCTTTCCTCCCCAACTTGCTTTTTGGTCATGGTGTTTCCTCACAGCAGTAGAAACCCTAAGATATTAAGTTTGGTGATATTACTGAAGATCTATCCAAAAGCTTGGCAAGAAAACTGCCCTTTTGTGTTTTGTGTTTTGTTTGTGTGTTCTTGGGTTATTTGTTTTTGTGGGGTTGGTGTGTGTGTGTGTGTGTGTGTGTGTGTGTGTGTGTGTGTGTGTGTGTGTGTTTTCCCCTTTGAGATAGTGTATCTCTATGTAGCCCTGGTTGTTCTGAACTTGCTATGCAGACTAGGCTGGCCTGGAATTGACAGAAATCTGCTTCTGCCTCCTGGGTGCTGGGATTAAAGGTATGAGCCACCACACCCACTGAGAAAACTGCTCTTTACATTAAGTTATGCAATAGAAAATGGGTTTGGAGAGATGGCTCAGTGGTTAAGAGCACTAGCTGCATTCTTAGAAGATCTGGGTTCAATCCCCAACTCACACATGGTAGCTCACAACCATGTGTAACTCCAGCCCCAGGGGATTCAAAGCCCTCTCCTGTGCCATCTCTGTGGTCACCAGGCACACAGGTGGGTGCACAGACAAAACACCCATACACATCAAATAAATACCATTAATTTACTTTTAAAAAAGAAACAGGAAATAGGTTTAAAGCAAGTTATCTACAAGCTCATCTTTTTTTTTTTTTTTTTTTTTGGTTTTTCGAGACAGGGTTTCTCTGTGCAGCTTTGCGCCTTTCCTGGAACTCGCTTTGGAGACCAGGCTGGCCTCAAACTCACAGAGATCCGCCTGGCTCTGCCTCCCGAGTGCTGGGATTAAAGGCGTGCGCCACCACCGCCTGGCACAAGCTCATCTTTTAAAAACGTTTTGAATTAAAACACAATTATACCATTTCCCCCTTCCTTTTGTTTCCTCCAACCCTTTCCATGTCAGTCCCTCTCAAATTCCTGCTTCTTTTTGTGATTGTTTTACACAGATGCATTCACACACCTAAGTATATAAACACTACCTGCTTAGTCTGATTAGTGTTATATATGTGTATGTATATGATTTCAAGACTAACTACTTTGTACCAGACAATCAATTAGGAGGCTCATCCCAGGGGAAGACTATACTCTCTAACTCTCAGTATTCCCTGGTTACTTACAGATCATCTTAGAGTTAACATACTCTCTAACTCTCAGTATTCCCTGGTCACTTACAGATCATCTTACAGTTAACATACTCTCTAACTCTCAGTATTCCCTGGTTACTTACAGATCATCTTACAGTTAACATAGCTTCTACCCAACAGGATTTGCACTGTGATTCTCAGTGAGTATTTTTAATCACTGTGTAAAGTTTACTTTCATAATTATTAAAGTATCAAAACAGAGCAGACATATGCATCCCAGTTCAGAGCGGCAAAACTTATCCTAAGAACAAAAAACTCCCTGTGGTTTATTTAATACTAAGTCAGATTCAAAAGGACTGCACCATTCTCTAAATTTGGGATTTAGTCTTGGGATTTAGAATTCTCTAAATTGAGAATATTTAGTCACAAGTCAGTAGGAGATGGGCTGCTCACAAGGATAGTACACTCATAAAATGAAAAAGACAGTGATCTGTCAGGAAAGAACACTAATAAAATTCAAAGACATTTAGAACTGTCAAGTTATGAGGATCAATTATGACAAACACTAAACTATGCCATGTAAAGTCAGTTTTTCTTTCAGATAAATGATAAGTTGGTGTATCATCCTTTGGGGTTTGTTTATTTGTTTGTCTGTTTGTTTGTTTTGGGAACAGGGTCTCAGGGAGCCCAGAATGGTCACCAAATTGCTATGTAGCCGAAGAGGACCTTGTCCTGTCTCCGCCTCCCAAGTGTGGGGGTTTCAGGTATTACCACGCCTGGGCTTTGACTTGTCTTGAAGTTGAAGTTAGATATGGTCATGTGGCTCTGATCAATGAAGCCCTTAAAAAGGCTCCCCACCCCCACGCGCTTTTTTTTTTTCTAAAGACAGACTCATACCATACCTCACACTAGCCTGTAACTCACTATGTAGACCTAGGCTAGCCTTGAACTCACTCAATCCTACTTCAGCCTACCAAGTGCTGGGATTACAGAAGTCAACCTACCACACCCTACTTTAAATAAATGACCAGTTTGTAATTTCTACCAGTTTCACCTTTATCATGACAGCTTGCCATAGGTCAGAATATCGGAACTCTGCAGATACATTCCTGAGCAAGGCCAACACAGAACAAAGCCCCCAGACAAATGTATATCCCGAATCAAGGCAAAACAAAGCACTGAGACCTGGGGACTGTTTGCTACTGCAAAATAATTTAGTCCTTCCATACTGATAAGCCATACAAGTAATGTTGTGTGTACAGAATGATTTAGTCCATTCCATTAAATATGATATAAATTGATGCTCCCAAAGAGACATAATTTCTTTCTAAGTATTACTTAAGTTTCCAAACAAGTCTGTCAATAAGATTAAAAATTATTTATATGTAGTATCAGTAAACCAATAACTCACTCAATGAATGTCACCCCATAAAGGTTGAGAAATGGTCTGCCAACCTCTCTTCATCTCAAAACATACTTTCTAGGTGAGAATCACTCCATTTTCCATGTCAGCCATCAGGTAATTATTAGGCCTAGTGTAGGGAATCACATAAAAGATAAATACATTTTTTTTTCCTTTTTTCTTTTTTAAAGAGACAGGGTGTCAGTGTGCAGCCCTGGCTGTTCTGAAACTCACTACATAGACCAGGTTGGCCTCAAACTCAGAGAAATCCATCTAACTCGGCCTCCTGAGTGCTGGGGTTAAAGGAGAACTATTCTTGAACTACTTCTTACTTGAGAACCAGGATGTCCGAAACAAAAAGGCCAGGGATTTTTCAGCTACTATCCCGTGAATCTTCCATGGATAAAATGCCAAATTTTGGTCAATACATAAGACCTATTTTTACTACAATAAAATATTATGTTGGTGATGGTAAGTAGTGTAGGGAATAGGCAGGGTGCAGGTTTTTCTAGTAATGAACAAAATTATATTTCAGGATTAAGCAGCACAGACAGGGAAGTACTTTCATAGTTCAGAAAGGCAGACCCAGAAGTGTGGATGCTTCACTACCACTGCATAACATTTCTACATTGTAGGGCTGTATTCTGGTTGGTCTGTACTCTGAATTCTTTCCAGGTACTTGGAACATGTGGAACATTCTTGCAAGCTTGTTTTCCTCAACAATCACCCATTCTTTCATTTCTTCATTCACTTAACAGCAAGTATCAAATGCACGTGCTGAATTAATGGCCACTGGAGGCCTAGGGAAATACGTGTGCTGAGTTAATGACCACTGTAGCCCTAGGGAAAGCCCTAATCCTATGGGGGAAGGGGTGGCACTTTTACGGATAACCTCGGAAGAAATCCTTCTAATCAATTCACACTAAGATGTGAAAAACTACTTCTTTCCCTCCTCTCCAAAAGCATCCCCTTGAAAAGTTCAGAGATTTTACAGATTCACCACTTCTCAAAACTGGAAAGACCTTGGAGATAATTTCAGTTTACAGATGAGATTAAATGACCTGAATCCCAGAACACTGAATTGCTAACAGGAGAGCCTGGTTAGAGCTGTGACTTCAGTAAGAATGCCTACTAATGAAGCTGCAAGCGGAGTCTCAAGAGAAGTGACAGAAGAATCATGCAGGTCATGGGTATCTGGGAAACTAGCTCAAGGCAAACGAATTTCAGGTAATGAATAACACATAAAGGAGGAGTCACAGGGGAAGGGAGTCAGTCACACAAGACCTTTCAGAACAGCCTTTACTCCATCTCTACACTCAATGACTCAAAAGCAAGTTCAATAGATTTAACAAAAACATTTCCAAAGAATATACTTAGAAAGAACAAGAAACAGTAAGCACAGCATTTGAACCTGCTAAGGAAAAGTCAAATTAGATCCTATCCAATCACCACAGTACGCTCCTGGTTTAAGGTATGCCTTTAAAGTCTGCTTTCCTGAAGATGTGGATGAGAGAACCTCTCTCAAAAAACAAGGTGGACAGCTTCTTAGGAACTTCCAAGGCTGACCGCTGCCCTACAGACACACCTGGGATGCTGAAGCACAAAGATTACCACGATTACTGGCCAGTCTACACCACAAAAAATGAAGCCTTGTTAAAAAAAAGAAACAAGAAAGAAAGCAAGTAGTTTTTTTAATGGTTTTATATACTGGGAAATCCAAGATTCAAAGGCCACATCTAGTAAGGACTTTCTTCCTACAATAACATGGTGGAAGATGGGGGGGGGGGGGTAAATGAGAAAGTGACAAAAAAAAAAACAAAAGAGGACAGTGTATAGTTGGAACTGGGATTACAGACTTGTGACACCTCACCTACCCTTCGGGGGCTTTCTTTACAATGTGGACTCCAGGATCAAACTCAGATTTATCAGGCTTGCATCCTAGGGTAGCTGTTTCTTATGAGGAGCTGTGTGGTTGTAACATATTTATAGGTACTCCAGCCTGTGGTCAGTAGATTGACAGTATCACCCCTCCTCAAGAGTTTCACATCCCCAAATGTCCTATAGAGGGGAAAATACACTCCGCTGAGACCCAAAGACATAAAAGTTCACAAACTCCCAAATCCTTGTGCGCCCGAGAGCTCTGTGAATGTCTACGTATGTGTGTATCAGACCTCTCTGACATGTCTCATTTACAACATTCCCCAGTCTTGCTTCATATAATATTAACCAACGTGAACTTTCAAAAGACCAGGCCTACTGTTCCCAAAAGAAGTATTTTTTTTTTCTGGATTCCTAGTCTTTGAACAATTTCCTCGAAAACATACCCTACCTCTCCTTCTATTAAATGTCTTATAAAAGCCTTTCAATTGTTGGCTCTACAGCAACTTTACTCAGTTCAGGCTATCATTCAGATAACTACTGAACCAACGAAGGAAGAGTATCACATATGGTTTTTGTTACTAATTTCACACCAAATTAACTTCGTATTTGTTGCCTGGCACATTTCTTGCATATAGCTGACTAGATTCAGTACTGTGCTGGGCAGCGAGGCAATCAAAACCTTGGTAAGTGATGACTGAAGTTTAAAGGTTTTGGTATTAATAAGCGTGAACTGCTGACTACTCATGAAGTGGGTTTGCTTTGGGGCTGCATTTCTTTTCATGGAGTTATTAAGTACATTCATTTCAAATACAAAATAGTGTACCATAGTTTTAAAGGAACATATGTTTCCAGCTGTTCTCCACAATCTCTAAAAAGAGACCCTACAAATTTTATGAATTCTATTCATCTTAGAAACACCTAATTTGGGGGGAGGGGCCCGGGCACAAAACTTAAGTGTGGTCAATATGAGCAGAGAATGTCATTGGTGTGTGGGGCTGATTTTGTGTACACAAAGGTATACTCACATAAATATCTCCGAAACTGAAGTAAATAAAAAGAAAACACTTTGTGCAGTAGTAAGAGCGAGTCAGAGGAGGCAGCGGTGTGGCCTCCGTGGGTTCCGAGTGTATCAGTGTACCCTTGCACATATTACTTGACTTCCCTGAGCCTGTATCCTTGTGGAAATGACGATAATAACATTACCTATTCCAAAGCAACGCTCTTAAAACAATTCAGTACATAGAAAACAAAATAAATATCACTCGTCGTAGTTTATTACAAGGCCAGCTACTGGCCAAGTAAAAGCCTCTGTGCATGAACTTCTGACTCCAAGAAGCTGATTGAACAGAAGAAAAATTCTGAATGATGTCACCCAAGTTGCAGGTATTAAGGAGGACTAGTGTCTCAGAACACTTTAAAGTACGAAATTGGCGACAATTACAGAACTAATTTCTCTTCCAACTACTCTTTCTCCATAATCTGCAAAGAAACGGATACAGATATGTTTTCAAGGAACTTTATAAGCCACTAGAAAACAACTCAACTCTTTGTTATCTCCATACGTAAGCCCAGTTAAGCGCCTAGGTACAATTACAGAGTAACTTTTCAGAAAGTACAACGAGGTCTTAAACGTTGCAGTCAACAACTCTTAGGCAGCTATGTCAAAATTTCTGTCCTGAGACACAAAAGCCGATCTGTCTGGGAACCAAAAAAAATCCCTCCGAAAATAAGGAAATGCCTCAGCCGGGCCTAGGCAGCTCTCGCGAAAACCTGTCTTCCTCGCACAGCAACGCTCTCACGCGTCCCGTCCTTCCTTCCTTCCCCGTCGGGTGTAGATGTCGACTCCACCCGAAGAGAAAGCAGTGACAGCAGGTTTGGTCCACGCCTCTCCCGCCAGGACCCCTGAGGCCTGCAGCCCCAACCACCCTGCCGTGGCCCGCTCGGGGTGGCGGGGGGGGGGGGGGGGGGACTCCGCGGGAGACCGGCGGCCCCACCCGCCTGCGCCCCGCCCCGCCCCCGGCCGCCCTCCCCGGGAAAGGCCGCCGCCGCCGCCGCGGGGCCTGCAGGTGGGCCCGGCCAGCCGCTCGAGAAGCCTGCGCACGAGCAGCAGCAGCAGCAGCGGAGGGCCCAACCCGGGCCCGCCGTCACTTACCGGCGCCTCATGGTACCGCAGCGCCTCAGCCCAGCCACTGTGCTGACGAACCGCGCCGGGACAGCTCGGAGCGTCCCCGGGATCCCGAGCCGGGCCCCACTCACAGCCATTCAAACGCCGCCGCGCGCGGCCCGCCGGGATAGCTACCCCGTGGGCGTCCCGCGGGCCCCGCCCAGCGCAGGCTCCGCCCCCTCGGAGGCCTGCGGGAGGGGGAACGGGGCGCGTGGCAGCGGCGCCCCCTCGTGGCCGCAGGTGCTCGCGGACGCTTTGCTATGGCGGAGGAAATGCTGCTGCTAGAACGGAGGCATCTAGGAGGAAGAGGAAGACCCTGCGGGCTAGGGATAATCGAGGAAGGGAACCGCACCCGGGGCAGACAGTCTGCTATTAAAACACCGTTCAAGGAAAGATGAACATTCCTTGTCATTCAAACGACCAGAATATGGTGGTTAAAAGCGTAGACTCTGAAACTCTGCGACCTTGGACAAATCACATAAACTGTGTGTGTGTGTGTGTGTGTGTGTGTGTGTGTGTGTGTGTGTGTGTGTGTGTGTGTGCCTTTGATTTCCTCATCTGTAAAATGGGCGTGATAACCGTGTATCTGCCTCTTCATGTTGTTGTGGATAGCAAATGGGTTTACGCATACAAAATTATTCGGAGAGTACCTGGCCCCTGGTAAGATCTTCATAATTCCTGACTATCTTGTTTTGTTTCCTGTTATGTGCTAGACTTCGAGAATCTCCTCTTTTAACATTCTTTATAAACTTTATTATTTAAAAAGTACCTTGCAACACCCAGCCTCCAAAACTCACTGACTACTGCAAGAAACTTAAGGCAAGAAATGCACATGATAAAGGTCCTCCCTCTCCTCGGGAAGCAGGTTCAGTTTCGTTGAGGTGGGAACACTTGACTATGAGATTAGAATTGGTTTTGTCCCTGACATCGTTTTAATTGCCTAGGACAATTCTCTTGATCAGAGTCTAGTCAGGGCAAGCCACTGGTCAGGGTTAACCAAACTGACACAGTAAGTCTGTCTTCTGTGGCCATCTTCCCCTGTGCAGAAACCAAGCAAGCAGGGCATTTGATGGAAGCCTTCCTCACAATCAGACTACATCCCGTGGCTTTTTTAGACACTCTTTTAAGAACTCTTAGGGATTAAAGCAAGGGTTGCTTAAATTAGGTTCAACAACATATTTAAAGACTTCCTATGTGCCTAGCAGACGTGTCTCCAGGTGCTGGAGACAACAGGAAGTGTCTCTCAATGACTTGGAAGTCAGAGAGTGATAGTCCCGATACACCACACTGCATGAAGTCATGAAAGGTATATTCTAAACGCTGTGGACATTCAAAGCACTAATTGGAGCTGAGGGGCCGTTAGGTGATTACAATGTAAAGCATTATCCTTCTAAAGTAACAGGGCCCTTATTTAATCCAAAAAAAAAATAAGCAACAATGAAAATTTGAAGCAACCAGTTATGGCAATGGGAAAATATTTTTAGAATACTTTGTGTGAGCCATGTCTTTGAGAGTTTCTCAGATGATGCCAAGCACAAGCAGGCACATGCCTCCATGTGTGGCCACACCTGTTAGCTCCAGCTGGCTGAGTGAGTGAAAAGGAACTGGGGCAAGACAGACTACTTCCCAAGCATGGCTTCTACGAGGTAGGTGGTGTTGTTTTAAAATAAAAACTTAACACACATGAAGTCACTTTCTCTCAAGGTATTTCTTCATCATCATAAACACGAATTTCTTGATGGCCCACTCTGCAATAAAGATCATTGCTGGGCCCGCAGCAGAGAAGAATAAAGAGAGTAAGATATGTTGCTCACCTCAAGAGAGGCTGGGGGGTATGGTAGCAAACAGCAGAGACCCAAGACTGCTTCAGGAACAGGAAAATCTCATCAAAAATAAGGAGTCCGCGTGCCTAAAGACCAGAAAAGAACTCCAGTGTTCTCATTTGTGGAACTTGATAAAATATAGAGTCTCAAAAAAGGTTCTTTTTCTAGACCCAGAATCTAAAATTTACATCAGTGATGAGCTGCTCAGGCTTCCCAGCTCTTGTATTTTAGCATAAAGATTAAAGAAAGCTGTGTAGGTATTGAAACTTTTGAAATACACACAAATTGTACCACTTTGATATTGAAAGCACCAATACTTTTCCTATCAATAAAGTTGAATTTTTTCTTGATACTCAATAAAGCTTAATTTTTTTTAAATTAAAGAAGTATGGCATGGGCCTGGGGAAATAGCTCAGTTGGTGTATAGTGCTTGCCTTGCAAGCACAAGATCTGAGAGCAATTCTCAGAATCCATATTTTAAAAACTAGGCGTGATGGCACATGATTATAATCCCCGTGATGAGGAGGTGGAGACAGGTGGATGGAAACCTGGGGCTCCCTGGCTAGCTGGTAGACTGCTCAAAAAGGGGAGGGGAACTATAAAGAGCAGTGGCACTTGCCTTTAAATCCCCGTACTCAGGGGGTGGGGGGCATGGAAAGAGGCAGGCAGATCTCTGAGTTCCAGGCTTGCCTGGTCTACAGAGTGAGTTCCAGGACAGCCAGGGCTGTTACACAGAGAAACCTTGTCTCAAAAAACAAAACAAAACAAACAAACAAAAAACAAAGGCGGGGGTGGGGCAGCAAGACCACTCAGTGGATAAAGGCACTTGCTGACCTGGGTCTGAGATCCAGAGCTAATGGAACCTGCAAAAAGGTGGTGGAGAGAACCAACTTGTCCTTTGACCTCCCTCAAGCCAGTTTTGGCATAACACACACACACACACACACACACACACACACACAGGCACTTGTGCACCATACTAAAAATAAATAAATAAATAAAAGCATTGCCAGGAGCAGGAAGAGGAGGATCAGCAGTTTGAGGCTAGCCTGAGCTACACATTTTTCTCTCCCTCTTGGTCACTATCCAGAAAACCATCTCCAAACACAAACCAACAAAAACACATACCCTGAAAAATTCATTGCCAACACACCGTCCCCCCCTAACCCCCTCGAAAAATGACTAGGTGTGGTGTCACCCAACTTTAATCCCAGGATTTAGGAGGCAGAGGCAAGCAGGTATCTGTAAGTTTAAGGCTGTCATAGTCTATATAATGAGTTCTAGAGCAGCCAAGGCTACGCAGTAAGAACCTATTTTAAAACAAAGAAACAAACAAAATCTAGACAATGATGCCTTAGGAATGACATCCGAGGTTGTCCTCTGATCTCTATATGCACACACATGCATGCACAGCCACACACACTTGTACCAGCAATCCCATGAACATAAGAATAGCCTTTCCGTATTTCCATATCCCAACATGAATACCTATGCACAAAAGGTGGCCAATTCCAGACCTTTCCAGTGGGCAGTCTGCAAGGGATTGTACCCTTCGTCTTTTCCTTGTGAGCAAACAGGCAGCTGAGTTAGTCTTCCTGCCTCATTCCCTGCAATGGCGTAGGACCATTCAGTGGCAATGTGTAGAGAAGCCCATATCCATAGACACCCATAGAGTAAAGAACTCTATGCAAAGGCCTACATATGCCTCTTAGTGCAATTAGGAGTGGGGTGGTGAAGGAGGGTTTGAGCTGGGCCTGACAAGCTGGACAGGATTCTGACAGGTCTGCTGTTCAAGACAGAGAACAGGAAGTGTGCAGTAAGTGTAAGGACCACTGTCTACCCTATTGGAGTAGGGTGAACACAGCTTTGGAGAGTGGCAGGCACGAAGACTGAAACCTACACAGGAACCCAGAATGTTGCAAGCACCTGAGTTTATCACGGTGGTTGGAGGCACTTGAGGATTCCACAGAAACTGCTAAGTAGGGCAGTGATAGTTATTTCATTCTTCTGAGGCCTGTTCCATCACCAGGGTGCAGAATGGCTGGGGAAGGGCAAGGAGGGCTGGTGGCAAGAACCACAGTTATGAAGATGTGGATTGCAGGTTTAGGGAACTGCAGCATTGACTGCCTTCAATGTTGTGTTCATCCATTTGGAGTGATGCTAAGAGACAGGGTTTGAAGAGACCTGCCCACAGCAACAGATTATCTATTCCATAAGCAACATCCACTGCTCTGCTTCAAGCACCTCTGGAAAATTCCAGCCAGTTGGCAAAGTCAATCCCCATCTTCCTGTGCAGGCCGTGGAAGGAAGTAGCCGCAGTGTCAGATAAGGCAGCTCCTGGTTTGCTGGACTCGTGATGGTCTCAAACACCACAATGCCGACACCCTGCTTTGTGCTAGTAATAACAATCTTGTTTCCAGCGGACAGGAGAGGGAAGTATTAAAGGGTTTGGGGATTCTATTGTGAGGACAACTTGTTTCTGATGTGTCTGCAAACTCTCTTACAGCCAGGAAACGGTACATTTTAGAGAAGACGTTTCAACCTATCGAATTCTAAGTATGTGATTCTCTTACAGAACCGTACTAATAGGTACCCAAGGATGTTCACAGCAACGTGTGTGTGTGTGTGTGTGTGTGTGTGTGTGTGTGTGTGTGTGTATGTGTGTGTGTGTAATAGTGAAAGATGGAAACGGTCTCAATGTCCACCAGTTTGAGACTAAGTTCAAATGCATCCGTGTCACATAGGCTTTGCATCCTTGGAAAACAATCAGCTAGATCTGCAAGACAGACATGCAAGACAGATTAAATAAAAAAGAGTGAGTTAATAGAGTTTAGTGTGTTCCTATTGATGTAATGAGTAAATAAAATATTCCATCCATAAATGCGTGTGTTTTTATATTCATTTATTTATTTGTGTATGTAGGTCAGTTTTCTTTTTCCATCACGTGGGTCCCAGAGATCAAGCTCAGGTTGTTGGGCTTGGTGGCAAGTGACTTTATCCACTGAGTCATCTCCCGAGCTCCCCGATGTAGGTTTTAAGGAATGACTATCTTTTGAAGCATTAAAAGTTACTGAATTCTGCTCCCCACTTGTATTAGTTGTTTGGGCTGACCTAGTAAAGTATCAGTGGGTTCGATGTCAGAAACTTACATTCGTGCTGTTCTGGAAGCTGGGAAGTTCAAGATCAGTGTGTGAGCTAGTTCAGTCCAGAGGTCAGGGGTCTCTTCGTGGTCTGCAGATGGCTGCTTCCTCGATGAAGTCTCACATGGGAGGGAGGGGGAGAGAGCTACTTTCGGTTTCTTCTCTCTTCTTACAGGGTTACTAATGCTATCATGAGGGCTCCACCTTTATGACTTCATCCAAACCTAAATGCTTCTCAAAGCCCTATCTCAAAAAAATAATCACACTAGGGATTAGAATTTCAACATAAGAGATCTGTGAGAGACCCAGACATTAATTAGTCCATCACAGTCCTCCAAAAATCTAAGGTTGCAAATAATGCTTTATATTTGAACTGATTGCTGTTTTAAAAATTAGCACAAAGGAAATTTTTTTTCTAAAGGACTTGGATTGGTCATTCAGATTTAGGGACAGTTTAGCCCACTTTGAAGAGGCTTAAATTACTCACTGGAATGAATGGATGGATCCAGAGTAACCAAACTTGGAGAGACATGTTAGGCCATCATGTTATATCATTATGACTCATGCTACGGTTGTCATTCTTATCCTTTAATGCATTCTGTGGGAATGGAAACCCTCCCAGCTTCCTAAGCAAGTGCTGGAGGAAAGCATATCATAATGGGGACTTGTTAAAATGTGGATTGCACAACAACACTCTTGAAATGAAGAAAAGGTAATTGCCAAGAATGGTATGACTAAATCAACATCACTTCAGAACACCACACTACCAGTTCCTTTCACCCTGGCAGGAGCATCTTATGACACTGCAGTCATGAACCAGAAATGGAAAATCCTGAAAATTAGAATCCATACGGTTATTACGTGGCCATCCAACAATAATTAGTAAGGCATGGTCCCCCTCCTCCCCCAATGTGAGTTGAAAACACAGACAAAATGGAGGGTGAAAGTTTCCCTTTAAGACCCTGTTACTAACACAGAAAAAAAAATGTGTCATGAAAGGTGGTCTTTGAGAGTTGATGATAGCAGAGCCAAAAGGATTTGCCCATGCAACCCATTTTATTGACACAGCAAAGAGGTTCAGGGGCTATTAGAGCACGCCGGGCTAACTGGTAGGACAAGAAAGGTTAGTCAGATGGAAGTTTTATAGAGATACTGTCAGATGCTATGACAGAAAGCTCAGGACATGTTTATAAAAGATTCCTCTCTCTCTAGGGTTATCCATTCTTGCAAAGCTGTCTGAATAAAAAGTTTCCTCATTCAGATTTTAATCCAAATGAAACCAGTTGGAGAATGGCATGAAAGAGATTTTTCTGACATCTGGGAGGAGGCAAAGGATGAAATGCAGAAACCAACGCAAAAGAGGCGTGAGGGGTTTAGCTCGGGAGTAGAGCAGCCACCTGGCGTGTTTGATCCCCAGCCCTGCAAGATAAATCCAACTGATACAAATGTGCAGGTGCCGCTTATTATACTAGTCAAACAACAATAACTTGTGAGCTACCAAACTGAGGCTTGTCTGTTTTCTAAAATTAAAATAATGTTTGCTCAAAAAAATACGAAGTAAGGGAAATTGAATGTTTATTTTACAGTTTCAGTATTCTGAATTTTCTGACGAGTTTTCCAATTCACTTCTGGCCCAGTCAGAGGTACACAAAGAGGCTCTCAAAGACTGAACATTTTTGCTTGAATTCATTTGTCAAAACTAAAACTTTTTTTATTTTAGGGCAAAAAAATGTTTTTGTTCAGTGATTGTTTTAGGTCCTTCTGTACAACAACTATCAAAAGACCCACAAGAAATACTGATGCCCAGGGCTTACTCAGAGTGAGTGAATCAGAATCTTGGGAAGCAGTGCCCAGGCGCTAGTAACGTTTTAAGGCTTCAAAGGCACTTTATCGTTTTCTTCAGTGTGTCATACTTTATGAACTCATGTTTCTTTTACTCAGCACCACCGATGAGTTGGTTTTGAAACAATTCATGGATTAGGAGAGCAGCGGGCATGGTTACTGACCTTACCCTTTAGGATGGCTCTGCCTACAGGGGGCAGGTTCCCCTGCATTCCAGGTTCTGTTGCTGTGTATGCACACCGAGCAACACAGAAACTGCTTCCAGCTGCTAAAACAGCATTGCTATATTTGTCTTCCTTGTCACTGCTTTTCCAATGCTTTGAACTTGAAAAGTGCTCAGTGTGTTTTCGCCAAGGGCAACATTGTGGGGCCGAAGATGGACCTGTGGTGACTGCAGCTGCTGCTTTGGTGCAAGCTCACCTTAGCCACCCTTGGAAAGAGCCCCGAAAAACGAAATTAGCATTTTTCAGTGCTCCCCAGATGATTCTCATGTGCCTCCAGAACAGACAGCCATTAGACTTCCAGGTTTAGAATTGCTATAATTAACGCCAAAAGGACTTTCAGCACAATTCAGAGACCCAGGAAAAGCGTGGGAAACCAACAAAATGATCTGAGATCTTCTTTCTTTGAGTGTCTATCAGTTGAGCCCTTTCCCCGCTAGGAGTGTATACCGATGGAAAGTATAGTAGGCAAAATGGTTTTTGTTTTTGATTATTTATTTTATTGGTGCTTTGCTTGCATGTATGTCGGTGTGAGGGTGTCAGACCCCCTGGAACTGGAGTTACAGTTGTGAGCTGCCATGTGGGTGCTGGTAATCAAACCCAGGTCCTCTGGAAGAGCAGCCAGTACTCTTAACCAATGAGCCATCTCTCCAGCCCAGTTTTTGGTTTTGAAAGTGTCTATGTAGTCCAGGTTGGCCTGGAACTCCTCTGGCCTCCACTTCCAGAGTGCAGGGATTGAAGGCAGGTTCCACAACCAGCACAAAATATTATTTGTTGACAGCAAGTATATATAACCTACTCTAGAACTAGAAGACACTCTCATCTAAGTTTATTTTATAGATGAAGAAATTAAGATGAAGAGGGTCTCTAACTGAACAACCAAGTAGTTCATGCCCATTCTGATTTAGAATCCAGGTTTCCTAGGCTTATGGACAAACATACTAGAGCAAGGGAGATGGCTCAGGGGTTAAAGAACCCACACTGCTCTTATAGAGGACCTGGGTTTGATTCCCAGCACTCATGTCTGGAAGCTAACAACCACTTGTAACTCCAGCTCCAGATCAGACACCTTCTGGCCTTCTCAGACTCCTGTACTTATTTGCACATATACCCACACAGAGATTTTTAAATTCCTAAAAAAACAAAACAAAACAAAAAAACCGAAAACCTTCACACTTTAGTTTCCTTTCAAACCACATTCAAAACCCCCATTTCACACACACACACCCTCACGCGATCTTTAATGATATTCTGATAATCTTTTAAAAAGAATAAGCAGATCTAGCCAGGCGGTGGTGTCGCGTACACCTTTAATCCCAGCACTGGGGAGGCAGAGCCAGGTGGATCTCTGTGAGTTCGAGGCCAGCCTGCTCTACAGAGCGAGATACAGGACAGGCACCAAAACTACACAGAGAAACCCTGTCTCAAAAACAAACAAACAAACAAAAACCCAAAAAACAAAATCCAAACAAACAAACAAAAACCAATGACAAGGAAAAGAACAAGTGAAGCTTATGGAGATGCCCTTCATTTTTCTCATGAAGCATTCTAACATGCATAGAGCAGTCATCCCTACTATATTCCGTGGAACAGATTCTGTTAGTTGCTAAAATGAGTTGAGAGAAAGAAAGAAAGAAGAAAGGCCCTGTATCTTGGCACATGTCTTTAATCTTTGGGGAGGTAGGCTAATCTCTGTGAATCTGAGGCCAGCCAGGGATACATAGTGAGATCCTGTCTCAAAAAAATTGTTTTTAAACTGTAGGTAAGAAAAGAAAACTAAGAGCATTTCTTTAGTAGCCATTTTTATTTTGACAGTTAAATTTTTTACTGGGGGAATGGGTCTGTAGGGATGGGTGTGGGGCCCTTACGGTAGTTTATTCATTGACACTGTCTCCAGAATCCTGTGGCTTCTTCACCTCTGGAAGCTCTGGCGGGCTGGAGAAGGGCTCAATGTGCAGGGCTTGGAAGGCATTACCTGCTGGAAAGACCAGGCACACTGTGGCTGGGGCCGGTGGCTGTGCTGTCTGGCCTAGAGTTATTCCATCGTCGAGGAACTGATCATTTTTGAACAGTCGCTGCTCATCCGGCGGCTGCTTGAGGATGCCCTGAATGATGACACCAATGCTCAACTCCTTGGCATCTATGGAGACCGTAGTCTTGTGGCGCTGGGTCGTGAGAAACACATCCATTTCTGTGGCTGCTTTGTGGTTCGACCAGTCAGTGCAGCTACGCTCTGTTTTGTAACCACTTTTCAATGGTTTATTACACTATACGAACAGTACTGAAAATATCATAGAGGTGAGCATAATGTAATACACATTTATTTCCCAAATCTAATCTTGGAACCCTTCTTCATCTCATTCCAATGGCTTCATCTTTTCTGAGACATGTTTTAGCAAATTACACAATGAAGATTCCTGTGATAAAGGAATAAATTTCCTGGCTTACTCCTTGTGGACAAAGTAACTGTGATTTATAGTTTAAACTTTCTGATAGCAAGAAAAGGAATGTATTAAATAGGAATATGTGATTTCATCGACCAACTTAATTAATATTTTAAAAAAAATACTCATTCAAAATTAGCACGAGTACCCTGAAAATTAGGCAACATTACCTGAGAACTATTACTTAACACAATATTTATGATGGACAGCCTATTTTATATTTTGTTTTACATTAGTATAATTATAGCCTATTTCTACCATGGCATATTTACTTACAATTTAGTTTACTCACTATTCAATGCTGTTGTACTTATTATCAATAGTTTTGCTTTTCATGGCTTCAGTTATCTGCAAGTAATTACCCTAGTTTCAACTATGTTCCACAAATGTTAAACGGAAAAGTTCTAGATACATGTTTTAAGTTGCACTGTTTTGAATAGCATGATACAATCTCATGCCCTGCACCACTGTCCTACCCTCGATGTGATTCATCACTTTCTCTTCTATGCACACAGAACTGCAAAATTGGACAATAGAGAGGAGGTAGGAATCTTCAATGTGTGCAGATCAGCAAACTCTTAGGTGGTCAAGGAGGCCTTTTCAGCCTTATCCTCAGTCACACTGTCACTACACTCCCTCGAAACTCCAGCCATAACAAATAACTTGGGAATAACATAAGTAAAAGTAAATAAAATAAATAGCAAACTACCGTTTTTTGAACTTAAAAGTGGGCATTTAAAATAATTCTTCTAAAATGTATATACTCTTTGATCTAGCAGTTCCTAGTGATAACTTAAGGGATTAGATGTACCAAATGATTTTCACACTAACACTGAATAATAAAAGGGTGAGAAGGCGGAAACAATTTTCAATAATAGGCCAAATTACAATACAGACAAGCAATTGAATATAAACTTCATTTTCCAGGAATAATAATGAATACTTAATGATAAAAAAAATTAAGCGTAGGTTACAGGTCCTATTTAATCTCACAATAGATCTTCAAAGTAGGCGATCATTCTATTTTTTGCATGAGGCAGGTGGAACTATGGATTTAACATAGTCGAAGTGACACAATTAGTAAGTAGTGAAAAGACTTAAAAGGAGACCAGTTAAATCCTGAGCCCACGTAGCTTTCCACCCCTAGTGTCTACGTCGTTGGCTTAGTTTACGAATTAAGAGTAAAAACAAACAAAAAAAACCCTAAATATATAGCTCCTGCAACACGTGGACAAGTAGTAGCCAGAGGCTGAATAACTCGCTCAAGGTCACCAGTCCCTAGCAACCTCGGGATTAAAACAGGATTTCAATTTCGTACTCTCCTTGTCTTCAATTCCTGTCATTTCGGACTTGCCTCCGGCTCGGTGACGCGCACCCAAGAGACCCGAGCACAAGAACTCTATCCGCAGAGGGGTCTCAAGAAGCTGGACTTCCGACTGCCTCGCTCTTCGGCTTTCCTAAACCCAGGGGCTCGTTCTTCCGGACACTCGAGCGCGAGTTTCCGGGGAGCGCGTGACGTACATATCATGCACCGGAAGTGCGCTGTGGCAAAAGGGAGCAAGTCGGAGTACCTGCGATCAGCACCTCTGGTTTCTTCGAGAGGCACGCAGCGGCGGGTCGGTCAACGGAGCTTTAGCCAGCCGCTGCTGTCATGACGACCCAGGGCGGCCTGGTGGCCAACCGAGGCCGGCGGTTCAAGTGGGCCATTGAGCTGAGCGGGCCGGGAGGAGGCAGCAGGTGAGTCGTTGGAGTGAAGCTTCGTGTCCGAGCCTTACCCTAGAATGGCCCGAAATCCAGCGGACCCGGGCCACAAGTTTCCGACACGGGTGCGTGCCACACAAACTTTTCCTGAGGAGGTTTTGTGCTGTGGAAGTTATTTTTCCCTAAGGATCTTTTAGTCTTTCCAATAGACTGGAATCTGACGAACGCGCGAGAGGGTCTAATTTGGTTAGCTACACCTGAGGATCTTTATTCTTGTGATTTATAGAGCTGGAAACGCGGGCTTGGAAAGTAGCAGTCTTAGTCTCTTGATTTGGTTTGGTTCTTTAGGGGCCGAAGTGACCGGGGCAGTGGACAGGGAGACTCACTCTATCCAGTCGGTTACTTGGACAAGCAAGTGCCTGATACCAGCGTGCAAGAGACAGACCGGATCCTGGTGGAGAAGGTACAGAGGTATTAGATGTTACTGTAGCATTTGGGCCAGCCCTGTCTTACCTTACTCTCCGGAGTAGTGGTAAAGATAGCCATTGCCTGAGTGTTCGGGAGTTTAGATTCGTATTACAGTGTCTTACATATAAGAACCAAAAGTGGTTAATTGAAAAAAATAGTTTATGAAATGGGTTGAAAAATGGCATCGGTGGCAACACCTTCCCCTCGAAGCCATATTTTCCTGCTCTAGTTCCCTGACATACTTTCAGTCTGTTAGGATATTGTATTACTTGAAAAAAAATTTAACTTTATGTGCATTGGTGTGAAGGTGTCAGATCTCCTGGAACTGGAGTTACAGACAGTTGTAAGCTGCCATGTGGGTGCTGGGGATTGAATCCTGGTCCGCTGAGCCATCTCTCCAGCCATTTGTTACTTTTACCTTTAAAAACAAAATCCCAATCCCGCTATCATTTCTTACTGCCTTCACCTGTTACATCATCCCATCCCTAACCACCATCCTGCACCTAGATTTTTGTAGTAGACTAAATCATTTATCATCTGTCCCTCTGTTCCTCTACTTATAATAAAACATAGTTTCTCAACCTCAGCACTTATCTATTGGGGACTAAGTACTTTTTTGTTGTGGGGAATTGTACTGGGTACTGTAAGATATTCAGTACTCCTGATCTCTACACATTAGGCACCATTATTTCTTTCCACAATTGTGTGAACTAAAGATGTTTCCAGCATTACCAAATGTTTTCCAGAAGGCAAATCGCCCTTGCTTAGGAACCTCTAATCTAAAAGGGTACAATTTGATGAGCTTTAATAGTGTATACCCCCAATGAAACCACCACCATTTTGAAAGAGAAGCTATATTCAAGTCTCCCCTTCTCAAAATCCCAATATCCCTTTCTGTATAGAGTTCTAACTGGTCTTGCTCCTTCTGTTTCCCCTGTAGTCTCCAAGCACAGCCATCAAAATGATCCCTTTAGAACATGCCAGATCCCTCCTACTCAAAATCAGTCTGTAATTCCATGTTCATTCAGCATAAAAACCAAACCAGAATCTTTTTAGTATTATACGTAACTCTGCATGCACCCGTCTTACTCCTTGTAGTATCTTTGGCCTTACCACCTATCATTTTTGCATTTATTCACTCTAGTCATCATGGTTTCCTTGTTGCTCTTTAAGGATACCAGACAAGTTCCCATTCTCTGCTGTTTGTGTTTGTTTTCTATTCTTAGAATGCTTTTCCTCTGGATTCCTTTATAAATTGCTTGCTCTTTTCCTTTAGGGTCTCTCTACTGTTACATAGTTATTAAGTCTTTCCCTGTGGCACTCTGTATCCTTTCTTTGTATTTTTCTGTGTCGTTTATGTATGTTATAAATATATCTCATGGTAATTATGTTGTTATTTAGCATCTGTCTTATTACTCTTGTAAAGCTATATTAGCAGGAATTTTACAGTAGAAGTGTGTCCCGAGTGTTTAGAGTGGTCCATGATATTTTCTTTCCTTTTTGTATTTCTCTCACAGCCTTAATATTGCTGAACACATGATTTTTATTCCAAGGAATGCATACATTCAGTTTTTACAATATGAAAATGACAGAGCCATTAATAATTTTTTCATAAGTATTATCTTACTATTACATTATAGTAAATTATTAAATGACATGATTTTTAAAAGGCAGATCATGAAATACTTTTATAACAATTCTGCATTCTATGAATGGTCTATAAGGAAATTATTTACAAATAAGGCTTTTTTAATGTGAGTAAACAAAATAGTTGTTGTTATATTTATATAGATAGATTTACTTTGCTAATACTATTAGGATTAAATTTATTTTCTTTTAGATTCATTTTATGCATATTGGTGTTTTGCCTGTATGTGTATAGCTGGTACTTTCAGAAGTCAGAAGAATTAGATCCTCTACTGCAGTTATGGATGGTTGTGAGCCACCTTGTAGGTGCTAGGACAAACATCGGTTACACTGCAGAAGAAACAAGTACTTTTTTTTGGGGGGGGGCGTTTCGAGACAGGGTTTTTCTGTGTAGTTTTGGTGCCTATCCTGGATCTCACTCTGTAGATAAGGCTGGCCTTGAACTCAGAGATCCCCGTCTCTGCCTCCCAAGTGCTAGGATTAAAGGCGTGCGCCACTGCCACCTGGTGCAATGAGTACTTTTAAACACTGAACTATCTCTCCAGTGCCTTTGTCAGGATTTTTGCATTTAGATTAGTTCACAAGTAAGATTTATTTATTCACACACACGTACTCACACTTCTCATAATGGTCTTTTAAGGTTTGGGTATTTATGTGGTTTGAGTTTTTTTAAAGAATTTTTAGTTTTGTTCCTTCCAAAAGAGTTTAAGACTTAGTTTTATTTTTAGCTTTCAATGGTTAGAATTTGCCAAGGGAAGCCATCTTGGCTTAATTATAGGGTCAGCTTTATTAACTGCCATGGAACTATATTTGTTCCTTTTGTTATGCCATTTGTGTTAAGTCACATTTCTAGGAATTTATCCATTTCCTAAAATTTCAAACAGTCAAAGTAGTTTATAATGTGGCCAGTTTAATATGTGCAGGAGCTATAGAGCTGTCCCCCTTTCCTTCTGGACATGGAAGAGTTGTCTTCTCTCCTTTCTAAGTCATCAGATTTACCAGAATTGAATATATAATCTTTGCAAAAAGACAAGTGTAGCTTTGATGATTTTATCTTATTAATGAATTTTTCTTCGTTTTCTTCAAATCCTTTAGTTTGTTCTTTGTCTAACTTTCATGAACTAGATGCTGAGTCTTCTCGCACATTCTTAATTATGAATTTCTAGCTGGGTGTGGTGGTGCATATCTACAATCCTATCAGTTGGGAGGATGATATGAGAAAACTCTCAAGTTGGAGGTCAACCCGGACATAGCAAGATGTGGTCTCAAGGAACAAAAAGATTATATATAAACTTCTCAAAACTTGATGGCCAGTGGTGGTACATGCCTTTAATCTCAACACTTGAGAGGCAGGCAGATTTCTGAATTCAAGGCTAGCTAGCATGGTCTACAGAGGGAGTTCCAAGACACCAGGGCTACACAGAGAAACCATTCTGAAAAACAAACTAAAAAGACCCTCTGAAAAGTTTGTATAGGAAAAAACATAGAGAAGTAGAGGGACTTGTAGCACCCTGAAGTGGTGGTGAGCTGAAGTCAGCTCAGTCAAGCAGAGAATTGAAACTTGTGTTCATCTGACTTAAGCATCAGTTATATGGTGAATGTGAGACTGGAGGGTAGTGATTAGAGGTTTCAACTGTGTGTTTGTTTTAGCGCTGCTGGGACATCGCCCTGGGTCCCCTCAAACAGATTCCTATGAACCTCTTCATCATGTACATGGCAGGCAATACCATCTCCATCTTCCCTACTATGATGGTGTGTATGATGGCTTGGCGACCCATTCAAGCACTTATGGCCATTTCAGCCAGTAAGTATTCATAAAAATAGCACCTTCCCTGGGTGCTAAAGATTGAAGGCAAACTCTTTTGTATATTTTTGGCTAGAGGGTGTGCAGGGTGGTGGTGGTAGTAGTGGTGGCATAAAAAGAAAATGGTGTGTAGTTTTCTGTTTACTTGGAGTGATACTATTTACAATCTTCTTTCAGGTTTGTATGTATAAATTCGTGGTTGCTTTCATGCCTATTGGGGGGAAAAAGGTTTTGACAATGTCTGTTATCCCAACAGCTTTCAAGATGCTAGAGAGTTCAAGTCAGAAGTTTCTTCAAGGTTTGGTCTATCTCATTGGGAACCTGATGGGTTTGGCATTGGCTGTTTACAAGTGCCAATCCATGGGACTGTTGCCTACACATGCATCGGATTGGCTAGCCTTTATTGAGCCCCCTGAGGTAAGGTTAATGTTAAATTTCAGGTAAATGGGGTGTATGGTGAATAACTAGTTCATCTGATGGGTAGGGAGTTAGAGTTGGTGTTGAGAGTTCATTTATTTTTTTTTTAAAGCTTTATTTTTACATTTTTATTGCAATGCCTCTGTCTGTTGTGGAGGTTAGAGAATAACTTGCAGGAGTTGGTTTTCTCCTTCTATTTTATGGGTTTTTGGAATTGAATTCAGATTACCAGGCTTGGCAGCAAGTGCCCTAACTCTGAGGCCTCTAGCTGGCCCAAGAGTTCACATCTTATGTATACAATTTCCTGTCGGCCAGGAGAGGGTGCCAGATCTCATTACAGATGGTTGTGAGCCACCATGTGGTTGCTGGGAATTGAACTCAGGACCTGTGGCAGAGCAGCTAGTGCTCTTAACCGCTGAGCCATCTCTCCAGCCCAAGAGTTTACATCCTAAGTAATAAAAAAGCATTAGAAGTTTAGAAGTTACAAAGTATGTAGAAGTGTGGCAGAGCTTGTGATTAGGTAACTGAGTAAGTTATGTATCATTCACCTCTTTGCTGTTTCTTTTTTTAGAGAATGGAGTTCAGTGGTGGAGGATTACTTTTGTGAACCCGAGAAAGCAGCACCTGGTGTCTATGTATATAGGCCTTGCTTGCATGGGCCTCATTTGCACTCTAAGCTCACAGCTCCTAAGTATGCTCACTTAAAATAGTCACGCATGTTGAGAAGAACCAGAAGGTCTGCGGTTTTTTTCTGTGATGAGAGATTCTACAAGGACAATGTGCAGCATGTTACGGCAGAAAAGAAACTGTAGCACAACTTCTGACTGAAAATAATGTAGAAAACTTTATTTATGTTCCCAGCACAGAGCAAAACAAAACCAGACTCTATGTAAACAAAAGAATAGCAGCTGCTGAGTAGCAGCATCTTCTTTCAATAAATTAAACAGTCGAGAACAATGCTTTAAAAGTTTCTCAAGTTCCCCTTAAATCTGTTAATATTTCACTTCTATATCGCATAAGCAGAGACAAAAATTCTATACCAGACATTTTTTGCAAGATGTGAGAAGCTAATGCTGAATTCAAATTATACATGATGAAAAATAAACCAGAAAAAAAGAGCATGTAAATATACTTACAGTGTAACTTATTTTAATATCCACAATAAGTTTTTTTAACATTTACGGGGAATGAGGATTGGAGGGATCCTTGGGGCCACAAGAATAGGAGGCAACAGAAGATGAAGAGCAGTGACTTTTCCTCTGCCATGAGGAAGCTGGCACCTGTCAAGCAGGCCTGCAGTTCAAACTCCAGCTTTTAAGACAGCTATGAAAGGCTGAGGGCCAGTTGGGGAGAGTGAATGTTACAGCCTGCCCTGCTAAACTCATAGGTAAGACACAAAAGCTGGGTGTTATAAGAAGGCAGGAGAAGATCTTTCTCTTCCCTCTAGAAACATTTGGCCCCTTCCCCTAAGGTGCATTTTCTCTCAAGTTTTCAGTATTGCTTTATTTGCAGTGATTAAAAGAGATATAGACACTTTGCAGACAGACAACATAAGCAACACATAGACATGAAATGCTCTAGACAGAGATGAGTATAAATCTGGCCTAATAACCATTTTTCCATGTAACAGTGATTTCTATGTTTTAGGGACTGAGGTAATAGCTATATTAATAGCTACTAATTCTCTTACCCTTTAAAAGATTCTTACATAGCTCTAACCACAAACAGCCTTTCTTAACGTTAACTTTATTCTCTGCCCACATTTGTTTAGGATGGGAACAGGTAGTATCATGGTCAGGGGTAGATGTGTCAGGCAGTTCCTGGGCAGGCTGGCTTTTACAGAATGGGTGTTTAACACCTTGGAGCCTAGGGGACTAAACTCAACTATGCAATGGAGTGTTGGAAAGGGAACTGTAAACTGTTTCTTCTACCCGATGCAGGGAGGAGCAGGAAAAGTTTCTGGATCCTCTCTGCTACCTTGAGTGGGCCTGGGGGATGAAGAACAAATCCTATGACTCAGCTTCTTAAACCATGTTTGAGGGTTTTCTTCTGTCTCTGGGGTTGAATTCCAGGTGTTCCATGTCCTACAGGGTATGTAGCACAGCACAATTTACCATAAATAAATGGGAATTTAAAAGCAGCCATGTATGTAAGCAAGAAGACAGTTTCTTAACTATCTTGTAAAGAATATGAAGGTTTCACATACTTGGAATTACTGCTCAGCCACAAAGACTTCCTATGCTGGTAAGCTAGGTTTTCATGACCAATAAATTAGAAAACGAAGCTGACCTTACACAAGTATTTCCTTGGCACATTTAAAGCTTTTTGAAAACAAAACTTGACAGCAGATCATTGGCTCAGGGAAGCACTTGGTTCAGAGCCAAGTTTCTGGAGTCAGAAGAATAACATTGACGGGAAAAGCTCAGCTCTGGGCATGGAGGCGAGTACCTCAAGTCTTCACTATGGCTTTGGTGAAGAGGCCACAGATCGATTTCTTGTGAAAGAAAAGCTGCTAACATCAGGCCAATGCAAACCTGTCTGCCACTTTAGACAGATGATTTTGGCACCGTGTGAAGGGTATGGCTCTCACATGCCCAGTTCCACTACTGAACCCCTCTAAAGCTGGGAGTCCTCGGAGGTGGCAGTACACTAGTGTCCTAGTGTCCCTTTCTTACAATTTTTGTTTGTTTGTTTAAATCAGTGCCTACTAAGGATGGAAGAAGAGACCCTCCTGGTTAAGCTGTATAACAACCTACATTTCTCAGATAATACCTTGTGTGCTTTGTGCTGCAGAGCTAACCACAGACTCTGTTTCTGCACATTTTAATAGTCCTCTCTGGAATCCCGTTAGCCCAGCCATTTGAGAACCTGAAAAACATTTCACCTTTCAAAAAACATTTTCCATGGTAACACTCTACATTACAACCACAGAATGGGTTTTTAAAGAAAGACAGTTGAAATATAGTGGCACAGTACAGACAATAAAACTTAGTATCTGGGGGATCAGACTTTTGAATAAGTAGAGGCTGCAGCTATGTTTCAGATTTTTGTATATTAGTATACTATCTCCACAATGGTAACATTTACTTGGCCGCTCATTTTTTACTAAGGTGAGGCTGACTGGCTGTTACCTCTCTGGTGCCATCATTGAACCGTGCTTCTGAGACTCATCCTGAATGTTGGATATTAACTTGTTTTTCATTTTTAGTTAAATTTCTAGCACACGTTTTACTAACTTACTACCTTCAGCAGTGACAAAGGTTCCCTTTGGCTTAGCTTGTTAATTTTGACTTGCCTTCTCCTGCCATAGAAATAGCTTTTAGGACTTGACCATTCTGATGTTGAGGGAATATTTACTTCTGCTGGGATGGCAGATCATGTTGCAGCCAAGAGCATAGTTGGGGCTCAGCTCCGCAAGAATTGAGTGGGAGTGGTAGGAAAGAGCTGTCATCTCTGTGGACGGACGATGAGTCTTTTGAAGGTAAGACCAAGCAGAATCTTCCACAAGCTGATTATGAGTAAATGGTGATTACTTCACTGCCACCACCCCGGACAAGGAGGACTCGCTCTAATCCCTCGGTGAGTACTTCTAGGAATTCCATGTCTTCAGAAGTTGTCAAGGAAACAGGCAGATGAATAGTACACTTTATAACCTGGCATCAGTAATCTAAGTTTGTTTGATCACTGGACTGCAAACTCAGCACACTTCTCTTAATAATTATATACTTAGAATAGGAAAACCCTGACTTCTGGATTCAACATCCATCTATCCACCCACCCATTCATTTCAGCAGTGCTATGCATTAAAACTAGGGCCTTGTGCATGCGAGGCAAACGCCCCGTGTGCAACTGTTTCACCTGCTCTGATTTTAATTTTTTGAAATTCAGAAACAGGGTCTCACTAAATTGCCCAGGCTGGTCTTGATTCTCTTTGGCACCCAGACAGACCTTCCTCACTTTTCCTAAGTAGCTGAGATTCCAGGCTTGCACCATCAAACCTAGAATTGGATTCAGTTTTAAACCTATGAAATAATCCTTTGATCTAGACTCTTTGCATATTTAATATAAGATATTCTCATATGTTTCCTCCCTCCTTACCTCCAAGTCCTGGGAACTGAACCAAGGGTCTCATGTATGTTAAGCAAATATTCTACCACTGAGTGATAGCCCCAGCCCTTACTTGTTATTTTCTAAATGTGATTTAAAACTGGGTAAACAGTGAGATAGCTCAGCTATTGAAAGAATTTGTACAAGCCTGACAATCTGAGTTCAATTCTTTGGAATGAGTCAGAAGAACACACACATAAATACAAACACAAATACTCTTAAGAGAAACTCAATATGTAACACTAGCTGGCCTGAAACGCAGTACATAGACTTAAACTGGCCTTGAACTCATTGTGATCTGCCTGCCTCTACCTCCTGAATGCTGGGATAAAGGTTGAGTCACATTGCCTGGCATAAATAAAAAGTTTTAAGTGACTAGAGAGATGTCTCAGTGGTTAAGAGCACTTGATGCTCTTGCAGAGGACCCAGGTTATGAGTTCCCAGCATGCATGTAGTGGCTCATGACCATCTGTAACTCAGGTCCAGGAAATCCAACACCCTTTACAGACTTCCGTGAGCACCAACCAAACATGCACGAGCACACACGCAGGCAACAGTGTGGGAGTCCACAGAGCTTTTTAGTGAGATCGGAGCTTGCTTTACACAGCAGGGCTGCATTAGGGGATGCCTGGACTACATACGTGCACCAGGTGTTGGGGATGGTCTACACTTGGCTCTTTGGGGTGGGGTAGTCTTTTGCCTTATCCCTTGGCGTTCCTTTAAAAAGCCCTTTAGTAGAAGGGGGCGGTGGATTAGGATCCAGGCCCTCCCGAGCTATCCTATGTTTTCTTATAGTGTTGGTTGTGAGCCTAGCCTTTAACGGCTGAGCCATCTCTCCAGTCCTGTCCTATTTTTTCTAACTGTCTCTCTGTTTATACTTCTATCTACAAATTTCTCACTTCTCCTTCCTCAAGAGTACCCTGGGGGAAAAAGAAGAAGCAGATCTCCCTCACAACAGACACATGAAAAAAGGGCTTCAACTGTGTGTGGGGGGCCGGGGGGCAGTAGGTAAAGACACTTGCTGTGCAAGCCTGATGACCTGTGTTTGATTGACTCTCAAAGGTTGCTCTCTGACCTTTACATGCTGTGGTGTATATATATTCATATGCCTGTGTATATGTGTATGCATACACAATTAAAAATGAAAACTAGAACTGACAATATGCTATTCTTTTGACAAAAATGCCAAAAAATAAAAGGGCTAAAAAAATACCTCAAAAGATCTCTAGAGAGAACCCACAGAATCTCTAAGTGAAGCTGCATGAGTCAGATTTTCATGCCTTTTTTTTTTTTCCATTAATAAGCCATCCCCCTTTTCCTCAATGGTGCTTCTAAGAATGGGTCAGTCTGTGTCACTGCAGGGCTGGAGGGCTCCCATAAACAACCCTGGGTGAAGAAGAGTCCTTATGCCTTTTCCTCACTTCTGTTATGAAGTCCCATCTCAAGTGCTTCTCCCCTAATTCCATCCAAAAGATGGCTCTGCAGAGGACCCTGAAAGGAGAATGGATGTGGGTTCTGTTCTAGATTTATCGCTGAAAACTAGGAATCATGTATACATGGGATTCAGAGAGAACATAGTAACTCCCTGCCCCAGCTTCCTGAGAGGAAATCAATTAGTCTCACAACTTTAGAAGCATCCCTTCCTATGGCATTAAGCTCAGGGAAAGTGGAGAACAGACTGACTTTAGCCACTGACTGTCTAATAACAGGCTAAGAAGATTTTTTTTTCCTATTGGCAGCTTCACTTTTGGAAAGGATACAGTTTTCATCACCTTCAGGGTTTCGGGGTGGTCCTGGCATATTCAACAAGACCAGTTTTGCTTCATGGGACTTGTTAACTATGACTTCATTAAGCTTCACTGCTGTATGCATCCGTCTCACGTTGGAGTGGTCCCTGAGTGGGGAAGAAATACAATAGTTAAGTCAAAGAGAAAACCAGTTATAAGCACTCTTTGTTTTGATGCCTAGAGCCTTTTCACTTGACTATGGACAATGTGGTAATTTCTTTGCTGTATTAACATCTCTAGTTTTCTTATTCTTTAAAAATTTTTTTTTAAAGATTTCATTATGTGTGTGTGTAGGAAGGCAGCTTTTTGGGAGTGGTTTTCCTTCCACCAACTTTTGGGACCTAAGGCTTGGCAACAAGCTATTATCTCACTGGCCTGGTTTTCTCATTCTGTTTGTTTATTTTATAGTAATAAACAAATAATAATAGAAACAATGTGGAGGATGGTTAGCCTGTATCCCATGTTTAATTGGGAATTAATCTTCACAGGCAAACAATAAATAGCTTAAATCAGCTATTTAGCCTAAATCAGCTTGATGAACACCCCATCCTACGTGACTGTGTTCAGGTACAGTCACATCTGTACCACTGTCTAGGATACTGTATTAAAGGGTAAGCTTGTGAGTGGAAACACTTACGGACGCATATTAAGTAGGTCCTGGAATCCTTCCATTGACTTGACCTTCTGCCCCCGGGATGCCAAGTATTTATCCTTGGTCCAAGTCATGTGTACCTTCTCCTGGTACGTTTCTGTCTCTTCATCCTCATCAGAACCGATGCTAGTTAAGCGTAGCATTGAGTTTCGATCTTTCACCAGCTGTGCCTGGGGAAGGTCAAACAGTTACTCTTCCTGTTCTTTTCCTCATGCTTTAACTGACTGGGAAGGACAGCAAGCTCTCACCTCTCTGTCGCGCTCTGTCTTGGAGAGGCGCATGTGCCGCAGCATCTGGGACCTCTGCTCCATCATCAGGGTGCGCTCGTACGTATAGGCAGATATGTCACTGTCATGCTGTCACGGACACACACAAAGTAGGCACACAGAACAAAGACATGTTAACTACACATTTTTATTTTCACACGCTGACCAATTCAGAAAAACTGTCACCATATCAACCTTTCACTCCTATTCTGTTCAGTCTTGAGATATAAGGACACATGGTTTGGGGGGTGTAGATAAAATACAGAGTCACTAAGTATTTTCTATAATTTAATCATATTTGTTTCCTTGAAACAAAACACTGTAGTTTGTATTTTCCACATAAAACTAGTGTGATTTTTTTTATAATTTATTTATTTTTATTTTATGTGCATTGGCATTTTGCCTGCATGTACGTCGGTATGATGGTGTCAGATTTTGGAGTTATAGACAGTTGTTAGCTGCCATGTGGGTGCTGGGAACTGAACCCGAGTCCTCTGGAAGAGCAGTCGGTGCTCTTAATCACTGAGCCATCTCTCCAGCCCACTAGTGTGAATTTTTTTAACATGAATTAAATAAACATATTAAGCATCTAAGAATTTGGTGTGTGTGTATATATATATATGCACATATGCATATATATGTATACATATATATGAGCTGTGTAACAAATAACAAAGCAAATAAAAAGCAACCCCAGGGTCAGGAAGATGATTCAGTGGGTAAAGGCATTTGCTGCCAAGTCTGATGCCTCAAATTTGGGTCCAGAGACTCACATGATAGAAGGAAAGAACTGACTCCTGTAAGTTGTCCTCTGACTTATGCACGCATGCACGCGCACACACACATGCAATGTAATAAAAATTTAGATAGTTTTATAAAGAAAGCAAAAAAAAAAATATCAATCTCAAACATTTATGCATCCTACTTACTTAGGTCAATAAATTAGGGTTTTGTTAGGCTTAAGGGGTTAAACCACACATTTATAACTGAGTAATATCCCAGACTAGATTCTAGGGAGAGAGCTGGGGTTGAGGGAGTGGTGTTCTGTTCTATTTCAAACTCCACTTCCTCACCATCTCCACCACTTCCACTTCTGCCTCAATGCGCAGATGGTACAGGAAGGTGGCCAGGTCCTTCTTCATCTGGATACTGTTGTCTTCGAGCTGGGCCACTGTGAAGATCCTTATGCTGCATTTTCTCCATACCTGATGGAATACCACGTGTACATGGAAAATTAGGTGCAAGAAGGAAAAAAGTGATTTCCTAAAACGAGACATTTGTGCCTAGAATGACCTTGGTGTAGTGTCAAGTATTTTGTTCCTTGCCTCCTGCTTGATTCATTTTTTTTTTTTTTTTTTTTTTTTTTTTGGTTTTTTCGAGACAGGGTTTCTCTGTGTAGCTTTGCGCCTTTCCTGGAACTCACTTGGTAGCCCAGGCTGGCCTCGAACTCACAGAGATCCGCCTGGCTCTGCCTCCCGAGTGCTGGGATTAAAGGCGTGCGCCACCACCGCCCGGCTTGATTCATTTTTGTAGTAGTGTAAAAGATTGACTAAGCAACACATTAAGTACAATCTAAGTTAACACACTAGCTCAGGCTGGCCTTGAACTCTGATCTTCCTACCTTGGCCTCCTGAGTGGTGGGGCTTACCAGCATGTTTCACCATTCCTGGCTCTAAGTTCTTAATTCTGCTACAAGAAAAAACGTGCTCATGTAGTATTGTGAAATTGGTCTTTGTCCCTGACTCCTGGCATATAACTTGTAAAATCCTTGGAAAGACAGAGGGACTGAGGATCGAGCTGACCCCCTATGGTGAATGGTTTAAGTCAGCATGGGTAGAGCAAATAGTGCTTGTAGTCGCCATCCTCAGGATGCAGGAAGACAGTATGTAAGACTGACTATCAATCTGGGGGATAGAATGCTACCTCCAGATAATGAAGTCAGAATTGATTTAGAGGACACCAAGTTGCTGCCTATGGTACACTGGGTGCTTATTCAGACAGCATAACAATGATACCATACAAACTTATCAGAGAATGAGCATATATTGGTATGATATGTACAACATACACATATTTATCCCTGAGACTGATGCATTCCCTTTTTTTTTTTTTTGCTCTGAACACTCATACGGAATTTTTGTAAACTTGTTGGATTTCATTTACGGTGGATTGGTATAACATACAAAAAAACAAAAAACAAAACAAAACAAAAAAACAACCTAAACCCACTCTACTTCTCATAAGGCTGAAGCTAGGAAGGTGGGATTATGGGACAGCCAAGGATAAGCCCCATCTCTTCAGATTTTAAGTCCCACCACTACACAGTTAAATAATAACAGTACATCTAGCAAACCAGGACAGCACGAGGGAAGGCTTTTAAAGAGAGTGGTCCAGAATACCTTGTGCTGTTTCAGGAGGAAGGGCAATAGCATGAGCATGCCCCCATCATGAACAATCCACCACACATCAATGTTGCCCTCAGAAAATTGCTCCACATTGCTGGGAAAGAAGGAGATGTTTTTAGCCACCAGCAGGGCTAGATGGGCAGCAGTTGTCACTCGAACTGTGCCTGTGGAGAGAAGAGAGGACTAGGATCCACGAACAAGAACTGCTGGACTTTCCTTACTTCCCACCATTTTAGGAAAGGAAGGTAACTCTCATTGACATTTCTTTGAATAGTATGTCCTATTGACATAATACATTACACTTTTCTAAGGGACAGAGGTCACTGTGGGAAGTCTTGAGAGCTAGTAATTGAACGGAGAAACATGGTAGGAAACTAAGGATACTACATATTTAAAGTATGAATTTGGGAGAGTCTCATGAAAGACAATCCTTCTAGTTCCTGTGAGGACATCAATATGAAAAATGACAATAGATGAGACCTGACCTAGACAAATAATGTGAACATAAATGTAAAGCTGGAGAGGGCAGGTGACACAGGTAATTATGAGTTTTCAGGTGGCCTTCTAACAGTGTGCTTAAACACAGCAGTCTCTACTTTGGGATAGAGTCAGGATGACAGATTTAATTTGCTCCCCCTCTGGGCCCTCAGGTCAGGAAAGGAAACATTTTGTACCAATGAAAGTCTTCCAAGCTCGAGCATCTTCACTCTGACGCCAACCATTGGGCCAGCCCATCACCACGGTGTTGTGCTTCATGCCCCCGAGGCCACAGGACTGGATGAGGTGGGAAATACCCTCTTTCAGCTTGGCAGCCACCACCAGCTGGCAGAATCCTTTTACCTTTTCTGCATCCATTAGGTGCTTAATGGTCTGAAAAAGATACAAAACTTCAACTGCATAAGCCTGGACCTTTGAACTCATCATTCCTTTGTTATTGTATTCCCATCTTTCTCCAAATTCTATGTAACTACCTCCACAGAGAGGTCCACAAAGGTAGATGTGCTTCCCTGAAGTGTCATCTTTGCTCTGACTTTAGACGTGCTCACGGCCTATGAATATCTGAGTATCTCGGTAGTAGGCTGTCCACATGTAACTTCTCCTCCCTTTCCTCTGTTCTGCTCGGTTCCTTTTCAGGTGAAGCACTGAACACAGGGCTGTCCAAACAGTGAACACTGGATGTGGTTTCTTTCTTTTTTTTCCTCAAAGATTTATTTATTTATTTCTTATGTATACAATTTCCTATCTGCATGTATTCCTGCAGGCCAGGAGAGGGCACCAGATCTCATTACAGATGGTTGTGAGCCACCATGTGGTTGCAGGGAATTGAACTCAGGACCTCTGGCAGAGCAGCCAGTGAGTGCTCTTAACTGCTGAGCCATCTCTCCAGCCCCCGGATGTGGTTTCTTGATTGGCAAGGCAAGTTCATGACTGTCAGCGCCATACTCTTGTTAACTCTAGGCATGCCCTGACTTATCTTTCATGAAACCTAATCTGATGAGTCCTGAAGTTTCACTTCAGAATTTTCTCAGGTAAAGTTTCCATTTTTCCCTTCTCTTGTTCTTATATTCATTCTGACATTGGAATGGTGACTGTGGACACCTGCATTTACTAGTACTGCATCTAGTCAAGCTAACTCAGAGGTGGTATCACATGCCTATTTACTCTTACCCTACTCCTTTGTTGGAAGGGGAATGGGAATAATGATGTACAAAATGGTTATGATTTGTGTCTCAAAGACACAAATTAAGTCAGTGGTTATCTAGGGTAAGGATCTTCATTTACAACCATATGCTTTTAAAAAAATAATTTTTTTTGTCATTTGGGTTAATGTTTCCCAGAATTTCTAGTTTGAAAAAAAGTATTAATTTTAAAAATTAAATATGGCCAGGCTGTCATGGCACACACCTTTAATCCCAGCACTTGAGAGGCAGAGACAGGTGGATCTCTGGGAGTTTGAGGCTAACCTGGTCTACAGAGTGAGTTCCAGGACAGCCAGGACTACACAAAGAAACCCTATCTCGAAAAACAAAAGAAAAATTAATTCTGTGTGTGTGTGTGTGTGTGTGTGTGTGTGTGTGTGTGTGTGTTAATGCAGGTACCAGTGGACACAGAAGAGGGAGTTGGACTCCCTGTAACTAGAGTTATAGATGATCATCAGCTGCCCAACATGGGTACTGGGAACTAAACTCAAGTTCTCTGCAAGAGCAATATGTACACCCAACTTCGATCTCTACTCTTTAGAGTTTCAAAGTATTTCAATGAAATCCAGTAAACACTTTGAAACACAACTGACGCTTCTCCAAACATCAGGATTAGTCCTTTTACTGACAGGAGCAGAGCACAGGCTTCTTTCTGAACACAGAAGAACCTGTTCAGCAAAGCTAATCCGGAGTAGCAAATGAAGTTTTCTTGACACCATACAAAAGACGGTAAAGAGAAAAGCTACCTCCGCACCACTGTCATCAGATTTAGGAACCTTCTCCACAACTGAACATAAACGTTCAAATGATTTCTCATACTTTCAGATCAGGGTTTGGAATCTAACTGGAAATGATGTTTATTGATAATCTCACGGGTAATGCTTTAATGGGAAGAGTAGACATCTACTCTGGCTCCTTCTGTTTGGGGGATCATAGCTGTTAAAAAGCCAGCACCAAGCTGGAGGCCTAGTTCACACAGGGAAAGGTATAACTCAGAAATATGAGGGCTTCTTGCTTATCTGAACTTAGCTTACAGCTTTGTGACATAAAGTTGAAAAATCTTTAAAAAATATTATTGAACCTTATGTTCAACAAACACACAAATATATTCTTTTAAACTGATTTTTTTTTTTACAGCTACTATACCATTCAAATGCTTTAATGTCCTCCATGATTTCCTCAGCAATCTCTTACATACAGAACAGCTTTTTTTTTTTTAAATGAGACAGGGTCCTGGCTGTCCTGGTGCTCATTGCAAAGACCAGGCTGGCCTTGAACTTACAGAAATCCACCTGCTTCTGCATCCCCAAGTGCTGGAATTAAAAGGCATGCACCACCATAGCAGGCTCAGAAACATTTTAAATAAATAGAAAAAAAAAGGATTTTCCAGCCTTTATTATATGTTAACACAAAAGGTCTACCACTTGGGGAGAGAACCACCGCCCTTTTCTGAGAGTAGTGTTGTCTTCTTGTAGGCCACTAGAGCACACAATGCTTAGGAAATGTGGGTCGGCTGACTGTGCTCCTTACCTGCTCTGCAGCCAGAGCTTCACCATAGTTCTCCAGGAAGTTCCCCACAATGACAGAGCCCACAATAGTGAGCCCCTTTCCTGCCTTGAGCTGGGAGGCAAAGGTGAGGAGGCGAGGATGTTTGACGTGTAAGTCTTCATCCAGCTTCAGCAGGACGAGCAACTGAGGCCTGTGCAGAGGAGAGGGAGCAGACACTTAGACATGGGAAACAGACGGCAACTTCATCCTTTATTCCAGGAGGTCTTTACAAAACATTTAACTTCATAGAAGGATGGAATCAGAGGAATGGTAAAGGAGGGCTCTGAGTTATTTCAAATGTTCTCAGCATTGTCTGAAATTGACCAGTCTTCAAAGAATAACAACAACAAACAATAAATACCTAACAATAGGTAAGGCAACAAGGTTTTGGGATAGTTCAAAACTTGATACCAGTTCCTTGAGTCGCTTGATTTCTTTATCTGGTGACCAAGAAAGCACAGCTGTGTGTGGTAGCAATGTGCAACCACCACTAAGCTCTGCTGACTGCTTTACCTCCAGTTTTTAGTGTGAGGAGGTCCTTCCTCTAGGCGGAGCAAAGCAAAGCGAGCTGCACTGAGGGACAGCCCACGGATACCATCGCCCCATTCTTTCTCAGCCCTGGGAGAAAAGGGAGAAAAGAGGAGCAGTCAATTTATACCACAGTGAGAGGAAGTTAAAAACAACAACAACAACAACAACAAAACTCGGCTGGGCGCTGGTGGCGCACGCCTTTAATCCCAGCACTTGGGAGGCCGAGGCAGGCGGATCTCTGTGAGTTCAAGGCCAGCCTGGGCTACCAAGTGAGTCCCAGGAAAGGCGCAAAGCTACACAGAGAAACCCTGTCTCGAAAAACCAAAAAAAAAAAAAAAAAAAAAAAAAAAAACTCAGGTTTTTCTGAATCTAATAGTAAAATGTGTACAAGGTAGAAGATTAAAACTCATGGTTGTGGTTTATCTACCGTCCCTTACTGGTATGAGGAACTCACTGTGAGACTGACCACCCTAAACCACAGATGGTCCACAAAATAGGCTGGCAGGGTTACTCACTTAACCCCCTGTGTATCTATTCAAAAGCAACTATGTGGAATATCAATTCAGATTAAGAAATTACTTGTGGTTGTAATTTTGAAAATAATGGAAAGTACAAAGTAATCTTTGGAATCAGAATATAATTTATTCCCATTTTTTGGAGGCTGAGTTTTTGGCTGTTTTGACATTATTCAGGATTAATTGCATTTCAGACTATTCCTTGCTTGAAAAGTTTAGTTAAGCTGTTTACTTTGTGTTGTATTTTTGTGTTTATTTATGTGTATGCATCTTTGTGAAGATATGCTCATGCATGTTCAAGTGTCTCTGGAGGCCAAAACAGGTGTCGGATCCTCTGAGGCTGGAGTTGCAGGTGGTTATGAACTGCCTGATGGGTTCTTGGAATCAAACTCCTAACCACTGAGCCAGCATCTCTCCAGCCCTGCATTTTTCTTTTCTTTTTGGTGAGACAGAATCTTGATATGTAGCCCAGGCTGGCTTTGAATTTTCAATCTTCCTGCCTCAGCTTCCAAAGCACTGTGACTACAGGCGAGTGCCACCATGCATGGCCAAATCAGACATTCTTCACCTTTTCAGCAGTGATCCAGGTAAAATTCAGACTTACCCTTGGTACTCAATGTACTTGTAGATCATGCCAGCTATTACCATGGCTACAATGGCATAATACCAGGAAGAAATGAACATTAGAGCTAGACAGATACTCATTCCCATGAAAGAGAGGGCCCTAGAAAATGAAAAACAAAAATATAAATCAACAAGTGTCTTTCTAAGCAGCAAGGAAAGCCACCAGTTCTAGGAGATGCTTCCTGGACTATGGTGGGGCTTGGAAATTTTCCAGTCAATTATAGACAAAACTTATGTTAAATATAATAAAAATAATTATTAGAAAAAACCATCATATGCCTTGGAAGCTGTGGTAATGGCTCTTTCTTTTTCTCTTCTTCTTTCTGGTGCTATGATGGCTCAAACCTACTGCCTTGCACATGTAGGCAGGGCCATCTACCACTGAGCCTTTACACCCAGCCCATATAGAGTGAACCCTGTGCCTTTGTAACAGAGGTGCTTCGTGCTGCTGGACAATCATAAATATAAAGAGGAGTGCTAATGTTATCAGCCACAAAGACAAAAAACACTTATTTGGAAAAGCAGGGATTGAACACAGTCAAGAATCTGAAATGGGATGTTAAATTATTCTCACGTAAGTATTCCTAATATTTTTACGGCATTTAATTCCCCATAAGTGCAGAGTCCACTGTTGAGAAGCTGTCGTTAGCTTTTTTATAACACATAAGAGAAATGGTAGGGAATGACTGTTTTGAGCAAATAAATTATGTAGACAATGTATCACTGAAGACAATGTATTACTGAAGCCTTTTGTGTGCAGAATCACCTTTCTAGCTCTGTGATGAATGTTAAAGTATTGTTAATTTGGGGATTAAGCTATAACACCAAAAATGTTCACCACAACTTTTAACCAATGTTACAGCTCCAAGGAGGATGGGAGGTGTTAAAACCGGTTGAGATACACATTATCAGAACAAGACTTTACCGCGGTACCACAGCTTTTCATTGAGAGCTTTACTGTGTACCAGCATTGCACTTTAGATGCATTACTCCCTGTTATGAATTAGTAAAATGAGATCCCATGAGGTTATATGCATTCATGCAGATTACAGGGCTAGAAAATATCAAGGTGAATAAAGGACTTGGGTTACCTAACTTCACAGCTCACATTCTTAATTACTAAATGAAATTCTGATAACTGTGAGAACGAAAATTGATGAGAATATAAAGGTAGAGATAAGGAGGGATGAAATCCAGTGCTCAGCTAAGAAAGAACAGAAAAGTAGCTATGCAAAGGGAAGGTTTGAACCTTAAAGATGAAGCAGCCTGTAAATAAGCACTTTATGGTTCTGTGGATGTTGTAAGTTATTATAAAGTGATACATACAGTTATGAAAGAATAGGAAAGAAGAAATTCAAGCGACAACTGAACATTGAAATAGTATGGAATGGCTGGCCCATAAAAAAAATTGTAGTGAGAACCCAGAATACCCTAGGTTTCTAGAAAGATGAGGAACAAGATGGAAACTCACCAGTGATAGTAGCGGAATCTGGGCCTCCAGTTGGGGGTTCGGAGTAATGTTTGCAAGGCACATGCCAAGTTCACAAAGAGGTAACACATGAGAAAAAACCTTGAGGAATAAAAACAGTAAGAGGAATTATTATAAAATCATTCTGTGAGGCTACTTTAAATAATTGGAGGCTTCTGTGCTACTAAATCCTATTTATAGACCACCAACCATTTATCAAACAGGAAGTAAACAAACTTAAAAACTGTTCCTTGCAAACCAGTTCATTTTTCTGTTTTCTCTCTTTTGGCCGATGGTTAAAAATCTTCTTCTTAAATTTTTTTTTTTTAAATTGTGTATGGGTGTTTTTCTCTATCCATGTCTGTGTATGATGTGTGTGCTTCTAGTGTGTGGAGGCCAGAAGAGGGTGCTGGACCCTTGGGACTGGAATACATTAAATGGTGAGCAGTCATGTAGGTGCTAGGAATTGAACCCAGGTCCTTTGAAAGAGTAGTCAGTGCTCTTAATCACTAAAGCATCTCTCTGGCCTGGCACAACCATTCTTTACCAAGATGTTCAGGGACTAATTCATATTTCTGCTTCCTTATTAATTCTCCTCCAAGTTTACCTATCAAGTTCTATGGTTCTGCCTATTTCAAACTCTCCAAACCTCTTCGTCTTCTTTTTTAGACTTTCACCCCAGTTCAGGATTTCACTTCTTCCCCCCCCACCTTTCCAGCTCAATACTGTCCTCTTCTAGTCCTCCCCAACACACATACCACCTTTTATTTTTTTTGAGACAGTGTCTCTTTTAATGCAACCTTGGCTGTCCTTGAACTCATTGATTAGATATATAGACTAGATTGGCCTCAAACTCACAAAGATCTTTCTGTCTCTGCTTCCTGAGCTGGAATTCAGAGGTGTGCACCACCATCCTAAGTAAAGATTCATTTACCTTTATGTGTATGGTGTTTTGCAGCACACTGTGTGCTTAGTGACTGCAGAGGCTAGAAGGGGGCACTGAATCCCTGTAACTGCAGGCTATGAAACACCCTCCTTGTCACTTCTCTAGGAACCCTCTCCATTCAGGTGCCGTGTTTCGTGGCCCCAGAGCTTCCCTTTACCATTCTCCATTCATTGTAATATGTGGGGGGAATTCTTGGCTTCCTTATCTACCATCAGTTCCTTGAGAACACACGCCTTATACATCTTTATATTCCCAGCTTGTTACAGTGTCAGGTGGACAGCAAGTCGTCAGTATGTCACAGGTAAATGAATAGATGGCAACAGTGAAATCAATTGCTAATGATTCATAAAATAAAGGCAGGGGCTGGAGGATGAACTTCATAGAGACATGCATTTCATAGAGAGCATGCCTGGTGCATACAAGACCCTGGGTTCAAATGCCAGTACTAAAAAAAAAATAGAAGAAACAGGAGGAAAAGGAGATGGACACAAGTAACTTTACAAGTCATACAGGTGAACCCCTCCTCCTCCCATAACATCAGTCATTTATGAAAGTTAGCCTGACATAAAACTTCTCAGAAGTATTCTCTCTCTCTTTTTGAGACAGGGTTTCACTGTGTTGCCCTGGTTTTCCTGGATCTCACTCTATAGACCAGGCTGGCCTTGAACTCACAGAGATTTGCCTGCCTCTGCCTCCCAAGTGCTGGGATTAAAGGCGTGTGCCACTACTGCCCACCTAGTATTCTTTTAAGGATCTATTTTAAGTGTGTGTGTGTGTGTGTGTGTGTGTGTGTGTGTGTGTGTGTGTGTGTGTGTGTGTGTTCATGAGTGCTCACAGAGGTGAGAGGTGTCAGGTCCCCTGGAGCTATACTTATAAGGGGTTGTGAACCACCTGACATGGGTGCTGGGAACTGAACTTAGTTCCTCTGGAAGACCCAGTACATGCTGTTAACCACTTAGCTATTTTTCCAGCCCCATCTCAGGAATAATTTTAAAGGGAAGTGAAGTCTGTGTTTGGTCAAGTCTGTTATTATCACTACTTTTATATGACTAATGGAAATCATGTTATATATCATTAAGCAACCATAGTTGAAAAGAGTAAGTCGATCTTACATGGAAAGAATTGGGGCCACGAGATCCAAGGAGGCAATGAGAATTCCTAGCTCCGCTATGGCAGCAGTTAGAAGTAAGGCCCAGGTAGGTTCCCCATTGGCTTTGCTGTGACCAAAAACCTGTACACATGAGGAAAAACATCAGACCCAGGGCACTGACACAATGTGCCAGTTTCAGACATCTGAAAATAAGAACAACTTCGCAGCAATCATATATAAACACACACAAGGATTTTGAGGGCCTTCTACTAAAACTCTACATGTCTCAACATTTATGATCTCCCAATTCTTAAGCTGAAAAAGATAACATTTTTCATAAGACCTGGAAAAAAAAGGAAGAGAGCACAACAAAGTGTCACTTACCCTAAGGAATGGTATGATGTTATCCTTGGCAATAGCCTGAAGCAGCCTGGGTGCACCTGTAAGGCTCTGAAGTCCAGCCCCACATGTTGAAAAGAAGGAGCCAATAACAATCACCCATGGGGATGGCCAAGATAAGGTGCCTACAACCAAATTACCTTTTACAGCGTCCCCAAATCTAGGAAAGAAATAAACAATGGAGAAATTTCATCTGAAAACAGCTTTAGATTGAAAACTTAAGATGACAATCACTAGTGAATTTTTCTGGCTTGTAATTTTTACAGATGCAAACTGAGGTAAACATGAATACTAAAAAATATAAAGGTACATAGTTTTCATAAAAAGGGCACTAGCAGCAGGCAAATGGCACATACCTGTAACCTCAGCTCTCAGGAGGCTGGGACAGGAGGATTATGAGTTTGGGGCCAGTTAAGGCTACATTTTGAGTTCAAGACCAGCTCAGGATGCACAGTAAGACCCTGTCTCAGAAAGAAGTTACTGGGCTGAGGGTACAGATGTTACAACACATCATTTGCTTAGCATATTTCTGAGACCCTGGATTCAACCCCTAACAGCACTGTGGAGGGGAAAAAATTAATAATCTGTATTAAGGAAAAAAAAAAAAAACAGTACAGTACAGTTAGAGAACAAGCCAAGCTTCATTTACTGATTTCTCTTTGTAACTGGCAATGAATCTGCTTTAGGGTAGAAACTGGAAAAGTGCAGAAAAACGCAGAAAGAAAAGGCAGGGAGGAAGTCCATAATAGTTTAAAAATATTCAGTAATTTTTATTTTGTCTGCATGCATGTTTGTGTACCATGTATGTGGCTGATGCCTGCAGAGGCTAGAAGAGGATGTCACAACTCATGGAACTGGAGTTACAGACAGTTGTGAGCAGCCACGTAGGTGCTAGGAACTGAACATGGGTCCTCTGTAAAAGCAGCCAGTGCTCTTAACTACTGAGCCATCTCTCCAGCCTCAAGAGATCCATAGTCTTAACTTGTTAGTTAGCATTACACATACTTTGTATGTTTCCATTTATTTATAACATTTTTACATTACCCACTATTCTATTGATATTATTATATGAAATACTGTAATTAATATCTTTATGAACATATATACATTGACACACAAGATATTTTTCCTTGAGGCAGATTTCTAAGAGCAAGCAACTGCAAAAATTAATATATTAAAACATTTTAAGATCACTGACGTGTCTCATTTATAGAAAACTAATACGGAATCTGAGATGTCTCAGGGTAAGAGCACTTGCTGTGCAATGATGAAGACCTGAGTTCCAGTTCCCAGAACCCATCTAAAAAGCTGGTACAGATGTGCATAGGTAAAACAGCATAGTATTAAAACTCATAACAGTAAGGGCTTGAGGGAAATAAAGTCTAGTGTTTGGGAGTAGGAATAAGAAATTTATATATGCTGTTAATATTCTGAGACACATACATATATTTTGTGTTTGATTTCTCAGAATTGCAAAGTTTTTGTGTACTTCATTTACTTCATAGTTTTATGGCTTACAACTGCATTAATACATAATTTAGGCATTCTACTTCTAATGGATATTTGGATTCCTTTTGATTTCAGTCATTTAACAATACTGTCACTATGATTCTTAATGCATATGCATAAACATTTCTGCAGAATATACCCAGAAGTGAAACTGCCAAGGCATATTGACATGTGCAACATTAGGAGATAGTGCCCAGTGAGTTTTCAAACTAGAACTGAATAATTTTATATATGTATAAATTAACCACTGTTCCCTTCCAATAAAACAGTTCAGTGATACACTATGCCTTGTACCCATACACGCATGTACACACACACACACATACACACACGTACACTTTGGTACCTATTTTCTTCAACAGTATTTATAATACCTTGTGCTAGGATTCCTGCCTATAGGAATTCTAGAGCACAATCAAGGGAACGTAATATAAAAATAAGTAGCTACAATACAGTGTGGTAAGTGCAGCACCACAATATATTCAAATATAGTCGATAGACAAAAGGAGGAGTGACTCTACTTTTGGGGTTAAAAAAGGAAAACTACAGGAGAGTTTAGTCTTAAGGAGGATGCAGTGAGTCTTCCCAGGAGGAATAACCAACCGGAGCAAAGGAAACAACATAGACAAAGGTATAGAGACAGAGCACTGTGGTGGCAGTAGGAAGAAGGGAGATTAGTAAGTGATTATAAAGAGAAAAAAAAAAAAAACTGAAGCCCAGTACGGAGTGATGGGATCACTGAGCAGTGGAAAGTAAATAGAATTCACAGGCCTTAGAAAAGACTTAGAGGATGGATAAAAACAAAGGAAAATACCTAGGTTAAGGCAATACCTAGATTCCTGTGACAGGAAGTGCAGTGAGAATATTAACCAAGATATGGAAAATATAAGTATGGTGGTTTAAATGTATCTGGCCCTCATAAGCTCATAGGGAGTGGCACTATTAGAAAGTATGGCCTTGTTGGAGGAAGTGTGGTCTTGTTGGAGATGCTGGATGACACACATCTTTAATCCAGACCTTGAGCCTGGAGGGCACACCTTTAATCTGGGCCATACCTTCTGTTGGAAGTATGCCACTCAAGCTTCCCTCAGTGTGACAGTCAGTGGACTTCCTGTTGCCTCTGGGTCAAGATGTAGGACTCTCAGCTCCAGCACCACATCTGCCTGCATGCCGCCACGCTCCCCACCATGAAGCACTGAACCACTGAACTGTAAGCAAGCCCCCTCAATTAAATGTTTTCTTTATAAGAGTTGCCGTGATCATGGTGTCTCCTCACAGCAATAGCAAACCCTAACTAAGACAGTAAGAATTAGCAAGTTTCAGGGACAGATCTGTCCACAAATATCTCACAAAACATATTTGAGAGAAAAGAAATGGTAAATGCTAAGTAGTCTTCATGAAGGAAATCACTGTCCCGCTCCACTTAGAATGCCAAGTGTGAGTGGACAGATGCCTCTCTCTTGCCGAGGATGCTGAAGATGCTACGTAGTTATACTTGTCCTGTTCTACTTTCATACAGTATTCTAGCAGTTCTTCATGTACAGGAAAGTACTTAGTATTTAGACAACTTCATAGCTTTTTTTGGGGGGAAAAGCTGTATGTAGACGAATTTCTAAATGGTCTTATTAAATGAAAAACACGGAGCCAAATATAGGGGTGAAAGCCTTAGATCAGGGAAATAGGGAGAGCCACCAGCCAACCTTACCTCACCAACTCAGCAGCGTCCAAATGCGAGCTACTTCCTGTCTTACCCACTCCTTTATTGCCTTGCTGTTCTGCCCTCTCATTGGTTATCTTAGCCAATGTGACTTCCTTGTCACTGTCTGTCTGTACAGACCTCCAGGTCTCTATGGTTGGTACTAGGATTAAAGGTGTGTGTCACCACACTTGGCTCTGTTCCCTAGTGTGGCCTTGAACACACAGAGACCCTGCCTGATAAGTGATCGGATTAAAAGCATGTGCTGCCTTTTTGTTTACTTAAAATGGCTTGCCTTTTCCCCCTGATCTCCAGGCAAGCTTTATTAAAACACAAATAAAACATCACCACAGCTATATTAGTTATGTCTTATATAGTTTGGTCCTTATTATTTACTAATTATTTACTGCCTGAGGCAGGAGAGCTGCTTAATCCCATAAATTTGAGGTAAGCTTGATGAACATTACAGAAGAAAAAAAAAATCACAAAATATTTTACCTTATCATAGGCTAAATTATGCACATATTATTTTAATCTCTTTTTTAAAACTTTTTTTTGTATTGCTGGGATCAAACATAGAGTATTGTATGTGCCACACAAGCTCAGTGATATATATTCCTGTCTGTCTCTTTGATACACTCACACACATTCCTCTTTGACTGTGTCTCTCATATATAGATATAGATATATGACTTTCATATATATATGAGACAAATGTATATTTGTGTGTGTATATGTATATACACATACATTTTAGCTCAATACATTCACTTTCTATTTTACTAGTTATGATTGACACCTTGGCCTGGTTTGAGATTCTGTGTTGACACTATGCTGAGTGACCAAATGTCATGGAAGACGGACACATGGTTGTTATACTTACTTGTCTCTGAGAACAACTCCTTCAATACATGCACCAAAAAGGACAACATTGCTTAAGTCTGATATGCTGAGAGTCAAGGAAACTGTTGTTATCCTTTACCTTTTCTACAGTAACTACACTCAGGATGATTCTTTTACCATATAGTGAGTTGCTAAATTCACTAATCCTATAAAATCCTTTTTTAATGGTGCTTATGAAGCAGGGCAACTCTCTGGCAAGTGAGGCAGTAGTAAGAGATGGCATTATTATTATTAGATAAAAATACTGATCATCTTAGCTCTACTGCATGATCCCATCACCATGACGCAGAGGATACACACGAAGGATGTGGTCAGGATGGCAAGGACGGTTCCAATGGGAATGGACTTCTGAGCATCTTTCAGATCTCCGGATCTGTTTGACCCAGCCATGATACCTAGTAAGGGGAAACACCAAGTTAACGTCTTGGCTTTCTGGGCACTCTGATGTTCATATTGACACTGAAGACTAGGGGCAAACTTAGATCTCCTGAGAAAATGTGCTCACTGTGGCTGATGGCTTCTAAAACCTAAGAGCCCACCCTCTTACCTGTAACAGAAGGAAAGAAGATCCCCACCAGAAGAGTGAAGGAGGTGGTGATGTCAGCAAGGACATATTCATGGTTTAAGCTGCCCAAGACATCGGATGACTTGGCTGATGGCTTTTCAATGATCTCCCCCTTTGGTAAATAATTACTCCAAAGATTTTCTGCAAAGGGGTTGGGGGTGGGGTGGGTAGGAAGAAAGAGGATACAAGGATATAAGCAATATAGAAGTAATGTAAGTACATGATTTCTTACCCAAATAACATTCAGTCAGAGACCCCTATAATTATTGTTATAATTACTGTACTGGAGACTGACTTAAGACTCTTTAAATGCCAGGCAGGTACTGTGCCTACCTCCACCTCAGCCCTTATAATAGTTTTTAAAGCCATTGTTTCTTCAACATGAACACATGTTAAGTATTCCAGAATAAAACCAATGCTATTTCTCATTTGTTCTAATATAATTTTATAAAATGATTTCACATAATAAATGTAGTTAATTTTCCTAATATAAATTAGTAACAGTTAAGCAGACTAAAATTAAATGCCACAAAATGCCTATTTTTAAATTAGTTATCAAATATAAAATCTACTTTTTAAAAAATTAATATCAAAGCAGTTTTTAACCTCTTAGCATGAACTTGCTTAATGGGCAAGGAAATCTGTGGACAAAATATTTAAGATGGATGTCATTTAAGCAAAGAATTTCAGAAATTTAGTTGAGCAAGGAAAACACGTATGACTGGTGACATTAAAACAGTTCTATTTTAGCTATCACTGCAAGAAGATCACTGGCAATTTTTTAAGACTACATTGAGTCAGACACGAAGGCAAATCCTTGTAGTCCCAGCTTGAGCCTGAAGTCCCATGAGCCTGAAGCAGAAGGATTGCTTAAGCTCAGGAGTTTGATGTTAGCTTGAAGAACATTGCAAAATAAAAATATTCACCAAATGTTTTATCCTACCCTAGGCTAAAAAGTCTTTTGTCTGCCTCTGTCCTTAAAAGAAGGCAAATTTTAACAGATGCACTCTGCCAGGGAGCTCTAAAAACAGATAATCTCACGAGAGAAAAACAGAAACATGCTGGGTATGGTGGTGCATGCCTATAATCCTCCCAGTACTCAGGAGGCTGAGGCACAAGGATTCTGTGTTTAAAAGTTATTCATGAATGCTGTGGGATGTTCTGTATGGCAAATGTGTTGCTGATTAGTCAATAAATAAAACACTGATTGGCCATTGGCTAGGCAGGAAGTGTAACAGGTGGGACAAGGAGGAGAATAAAGCTGGGAAGTGGAAGGCTGAGTCAGAGAGACACTGCCAGCTGCCACGATGACAAACAGCATGTGAAGATGCCAGTAAGCCACGAGCTATGTGGCAAGGTATAGATTAATGGAAATGGATTAATTTAAGCTATAAGAACAGGTAGCAAGAAGCCTGCCACGGCCATACAGTTTGTAACCAATGTAAGTCTCTGTGTTTACTTGGTCGGGTCTGAGCTGCTGTGGGACTGGCGGGTGACAGAGATTTGTCCTGACTGTGGGCCAGGCAGGAAAACTCTAGCTACACATGAATACATGGAGACCCGTGCCATGTCCAATAGAAGAGTCTTAGCTGCCTACATGCAGCTCAATGGTGGAGCATGTGGTCCTTGTCAGACATAATCCTTGGGTTCAAGCCTAACCTCTGCAATCATAATCATCACTATTTAGGTCTAGGTCATTGGCCCTAGTGGGGAAGCTACTGCCTATGTTTGCTAAATGGACATGCTGTGCTTGTCCAACTGCCTTCTAAACAACTATATATGTATGCTTATATGTTAGTGCTGCCATCAGCTTTGGTCAGGGAAATTTCTTTTTACAGTAGGCAGTGGTAACTGTGGAGCTTCATTAACGACTGGTCAAAGTGATAAGAGTAACTGACCTTTGAATGTTTAGTCATAAAAATATCTGTATCCCCCTCTTCAAGGCTCAGGGAATATCGTGGGAAAGGGGGCTGGAAGAACAAAAAAATCCATGGAAGAGAGGGAGTGACAAAAGAGTGCTGACTTCGGACGTGGCCCTTGCATGCTTCAACTCACAGCAGCTCTGATTCCCTGCACAAAATCTTCACAAGGCTGGCTCTATCAATATCCTGTCATATAAGGAGGAGGGCACTGGCAAGACCCCACCCATCCCTGAGGCGTTATACCCAGCTCATGGTTGATGTGGGAGGGAGAGACGTTTTCTTCAGTCCTGAAGCCACTGTAAGGGGCCCATGCTACAATAAACAACATGTCACCCACGAACCTATGAGCAATCCTAAACAAATGAGAGAATGGGGGGCATGATCAAAAGACCTAATATACGTGTATAAAATACGATAATAAACTTGTTATACATAATTCATATATTATAATAAAAAAGGGACAAAAAAAGCATCTAAGATGGGAAAGCCTATTTCCCCCACTGTCCTAAGGAAGAAATAACACAAAACAAAATGAGTCTAATTAAACTCTAACTTACCAGTAATGATACCACTAGCCAGCCCAGGAATGCCTTGGATGGAGGTGACATTGTTGTGAACAAAGTACTCGTCACAGGTGGCATTAAAAAACTGACTTGAGTTACAGAAGAATCCCCATAGCTTTGATGGCACTGTCATGTTGTTAACATCCTTGGTCTTAGAGCAAACGTCAAGGTGTCTTGATGAAAGGGTGCGGTTGCCCAGCATGCAGACCCTAAAGCAAAGCAAACAGGGAAGAGAAAGATCTAAGTTTTAAAGAGGAAAAGCAGATTAGTAAAGGGAAAAAAAGATCTCATTTCTCAGAGATTCTACTGCCATGGGTAGGAAAAGACGAGTGATACTGACCAGCACTGTGCATCACGTGACTTGCCTTTTCTGCCAGTATAATCCTCACAGGTCTCGCAATATTTTAACATTTATCTTATGTGGTGGAGGTACTGAGGTTTACAGAGATTCAATAATCTGACCAAAATCAAGGTCACACAAATGGCAGGTGGTATTCAAACACAAGGACTGTACAAAGAAACTACGCTGAATTATCTTCCAAACATATTTGGCGATTCATCCACTTTCAGGACAAAAAGGATCCTGGATGGGTTCAGTAGTGTTCACGTGCTTGCTGTGGAAGCATGAGGTCCTGAGTTCAGATCTCCAGACACAGGCAGAAAGCCTGGTGTGGTCCTGCATGCCTGCAATCTCAGCACTGGGGATGAGGCAGGTGAGGAGGACAGACAGAAAGGCTGGGATTCGCTGGCCTGCCCGTCTAGATAAACAATGCACACAATGAAGTTTACCTAGGGAGTCTCAGGGAATAAGACAGAGAGCCACAGAGGACTGACACCAGATACTTCTGGTTTCCACACAATCACACAGGCGAACACCCAGCCACCAGCAGCAGCAACAACAAAACCTCAGAGCATTTCTGCTCTTATTTTAAAAATATCCCAATGCTCACATTTTGTTTTCTTTCTAGGCAGAGGGGGGGTGGGGAAGATGGAGGGAAAGAAAGAAGGTCGGAAATGAAAGGAGATGGGGCTTTACATTCCTAAGAGCCTTTGGAACCACCTGTTTTGCTGAGTCTTCTGTTGTAGGACAGCTTGACTAGATTTAACAAGCACATCCCTCTATGGCCCAAGAGAAAACCGTTTTTGACCTTAAGCCTAGACCCAGTGGTAAAGAGGAAATTTAAGGATAATACAAATATTAGCTGCTGATTTATTTTTTCTTCTACCCAGAGACGTAAACAAGGAGAGAGTAATAGAGCCATAGTAAAATACTTCAGAGGTTGAACAAAACAAGGCTCAGAATCTGCAGAGTGTGTTCATACATACATAATGAACCGCATTCGATTACTTGGCTTCAACAACTCTTAACAATCCCTAGTTTTGTTTCATGGTCCTTCTACAGTTTTTTTTTTTTTAACATATTATGCAGAAATTTTTAAAAACAAAATAACAGACACTATGATTTTTTTTTTCCAACCAAACAGAAGTGGAGAAGCCCCAAAGGGAACCTGAAGCAAAATGGAATTTCCTGAGTTGAGATAGAGCTAAAATGTTGCATCTAAAACTTTTATAACTCTGAAAAGGAACTTTGATTATTTTATGGTCCCTAAGTAAGCAAAATGAAAGTTTATGATGGAATCTATTACTGGCATCACAAAGAAGCAATACCAAAGAGCAGTCAGGAAACCTAAGTTCATGTCCTTGCCCCACCATTAGTTGACTTTGGAGAAAGTTATTCATCTTCACTGAGTTTTTTTTTCAATCATGAAAAAACGTTTGATTTTTCTGTAACCTGTTTAAATCAGCATAGTACCAAGAAATTTGATTCCCAGCTGAACCATAGGACTTCAAAAGCAACTTCTGTAACAAGATTACAAATAACTGAGTACCAACCAGCCTTGGTGTCACAAATCAAAGGGAAAACAGGTGAGTCTGTGAGTGAAGGCTCTGCACAAAATCCATCAATTCACTACTGCACCGTTTATGGCATGTAATGTCCTCCACATACACATGCTATGACTTTCATTTCCCTTTATTTTATACTAATAACTCTTAGCACTTATGGTACCAAGAATAAAGAAAATAATTAAACAAATTAGGTAATTCTTTTCAAAAAAGATTTATTTAATGTGTGGGTGTTTCTGTCTACATGGATGTCTGTGCACTAGTTGTGTGCCTGAAGCCTGTAGAGGCCTCAAGAGTGTAGCAGATCCCCTGGAACTAGAGTTACAGACAGTTGTGAGCCACTATGTGGGTGCTAGGAATTGAACCCAGGTCCTCTGGAAGATCATCCAGTGATCTCAGCTACAGAGTCCTCTCTCCAGGCTGCTACTCTAGAATTCTTTTGAATTGGTTTTTATTTTAAAAAGCAACTAGACATTTAAATGCCTTATAAAGGTTGCTGGTAATGACTATTGACTACAAAGTCCTTCATAGATGGTTCACATATACACAAGGGGGCACCTAAATAGGTATACCTTAATGATGGCTACAGTTGCTAGGTCTACACTTCAGAAGTGAGGAAGGGGGTCAACAGGACAGTTTATCAGGAAGTTTCCTGCTGGGAAACTGGGCCAATAGGAAATCACTCCATGAAATTCTGATGGAAATGTTCACATCACCAGATCCTGTCACTGACTCCCCAACGATGACCAGGTGAAGAGATAGGCACGTACGGGAAGTGTGGTGGAGCAAAGGAAGACTTGATGGCACCAGCGTAGATAGCCAAAATGGACACAATTACACAGGCCAGGAAAAGTGAGGCAAACTTATTCACATAGCGTACGCCGATGAATACCACCAAGACCATGAGGACCAAGAAGGCTGTGCCATAGACACGCATGTTATTTAGCATGGCTGCTGATTCCTTGAGTGCATCATCACTGCGAAAGATGGCAGCTCGGGGGACAATATACACCTGTTACAAAGAAAAAAAAAGAAGCAGAGAGGAAATGATGTCATTTAAAAACAATCAAGTAGAAGGGCTGTAACAGTTTATGTTACTTTTACTTTTATGAAGGAAAGGAAAGCTGGAACAAAAAAATGATTAAAACATTGTTTATCCTTTCTTCTTTCATTCATTTGTTTTTAGAAAGGGTCTCATTTTATAGCCCTAGTTGGCCTGGAACTCAAAGAGATCTACCTGCCTTTGTTTCTCAAGTACTGGGATTAAAGTTATGTACCACACTGGGCTGCAAATTAACCAAATTTTTATTTGGCTCTAGAATGTCCATAGAAATGTTATGTCATGGATTATTTTTGTTTTCTAATTGCTAATTTGAACATCTACGTTTCCAAATGGGAAAAAGAAAAAATGATTTTACTGAAAGGCTACAGAAAATATTTAAAAAATGAGTAGAGAAATAAAAACTCTATCATTGGGATAAAGTTATCAAAAAGAGGTTGGGGATACAGCTCAGTCAGTGACTGGCTTTGCTGCACATGAATTCGTAGTTGAGTTTGATTCCCCCGGACTATGTAAAAAGCTAGGCACGGTAGCATGTGCTTGTGATCTTAGCACTGGGAAGGTGAAGACATGAGGACCCCCAGGGCTGCCTGGCCAGCTGGTCAGAGGTGGAGAGCCCCCAGCCCCAGTGAAAGACTCCATCTCAGAAAACAAACTGGATGGCTCCTGAAGAACGACAGGTGAGGAACCAGGTTCATCTCTGGCCTTACACACATATATGCAACACACTAGAACACCTATGTGTATGATACAAACAAATGAGCTTTGTTTTACTTTTCTACATTGGCATAAGTCTTTTCTACCTCAATATGAACTCCCTGGTTAAGGTGACAGAGTTGGGGACAATCAGATAGAGGGAAAAGGACAGGCAGGCGAAGGACACCTCAACCTTTCTGCCTCAGAGTCATGGTAAGAACACAGTCACAGCAACCATCACCTGACTGGCTGCCCCACCTGATCTCAGAAACTTTAATATCTAAGAAAACAAACCCACAGAACTTCTAGATTACAGATCACAATTAACTCATTACTTACCAGGAAAATTTCAATGGCACCAAGAATATACATGGCGGCTGCAAATGTGGTGCCAAGGTAAAAGCAGAGGCCAACAGCCCCACCAAACTCTGGGCCCAGGGCCCGGGAAATCATGAAGTATGAGCCCCCAGCTACGAGACAAAAACAGATACGAACAATAAAATGAGGGTATCACTAAGAGGACTGTAAACAAGTCATAAATAGAATTCAAAAATATGCAAAAAAGATGTTTGGGAAACTCTGTAACAAAGTAGATTTGCTAATAGGAATGATGTACCCAATTATTAGGAAAAATTAGAATATTTCCTACAGGAATAGGGTAGTCTAATAAAATATATTTTATAAGTGAAAAATGTGGCTGAAATTAAAGCACTGTTGTCTAAAAATAATGAGATTTCAAAGATAACATCCTTAAGCCAAACAGCATTTGTCTTTGTCTCTTTCACTTTTAGAGGCAACACTGACACCGTACACTGGAAACAACAGAATAAACACATGAAGTTTCTTTGGCGCTTATACCTCCAGCTTCACAGCACAGAAACAGTGGGTGACCGCTAACAGCCCTGCGATTCAAGCTCGGACTACTGACCTGGCACCACTCCATTAGTGGCAATGGCACTCATGGAGATGGCAGTCAACATCGTCTGCAGAGAGAGAAACAAGAACCTTATTACTGGGCAGAGCTGACATTTCTGTACTGCTTTCCTGTGTGTGGACTTCAGAGCATTTACAAACGTTTAACTCTACCCACCCTTACGAAGAGTCGCTGTGTAACATATTCAAAAGGAACAGTTGGGGAGAACCACTGGAAAGCTGGCTAGACTCTACAGACTAGCTACAATGCCAAAAACAATATGCAGGAAGAAAGAGAACCACTGGAACAAATTCAAAACATCATCGAGTAACAAAGTACATAAAGGGCTTCAACAAGGGCACAGCTGGAGGAGGCACAGTGACTAGCTAGTAGGCTGCTGTGGTACAAGTAGGAGATAAACTCTACAGTGTGATAGTGGGGATAAGAAGCAGAGGCTGTATATGAAGCATCTCAGAGAGAACAGATTGGCCGTGGTGAACGGCAACCAAGGAGTCAAATACGGCCTTGAAGATTCAAGCTTGAGAAACCGGGAGTGGGGAAGCCATTGCCAATAAGTTATTAACGACATGGGCTAGGTCTGCTTAACCTGCATGGTTAGTGTGCAGCTGAGCATGATGCATACGGAGGACATAATGGTTACCAAAACAAAGGGGACAGCAGATTGATGGACAGGGGTGGGATATATAAAAATGAGCACTTTAAATTAAAGGAGAATCAGAATGGGCTGAGTGTAAGTGAGAGAAGAGCCAGAAAAACCTGAGTAATTTCTGGGGAAAACATAGGAAAGGAGATTTCAAAGTGAACCAAACCAAATCCAGATTCACCTCACCCTTCTCAGGCACTGTCAATTTTTTTTCAGTACATTTTACAATAGTGTATACATTTTCTAATAATTTTCTGTTACAACATCAGTGTTTTCAAGCCCAAAGTACCCAGATTTTGAATTATTTAAAGACCCACATTTTGTTATTTCCAAAAATCTAGGACACCATTTACTACACAGGAAGAAATGGATAGTGGGTGCTGAACAAAAGCCCTTTAGATTTTAAGATCAACACTCTCTCTCCTGTTGGGAGCGGGTCTTCACATATCTTCTGCTCTTGATCCCCAGGAGGTCAAGTGCATATGTACTCTCAGCAGTGAAATGCCCCAGGCCAGCTCCAGGGGCCAGTGCAGGAGGACTTACACAGCAGCAGCAGATGAGGACAATTGCAAAGGCCTGAAGGACTCCAGCTGTGCCCACCACCCAGGTGAGACGCAGAAAGAGGATCACTCCAAAAATATTTTGTAGACATGGGAGGTAGACACCCATGAAAGTACCCATTTGGGGGCTCTGGAAATAAAAATGTAAGACAAAAGGAAAAATTATGTAGTTAGCCATAAAAGATGTTTAGATTTACCACATTAATCTCAAAGCATAGGTAGGAAGGTTAAATAGTATCTTCACAGGTCTCTTAGTAAAGTCCATCACTGTGCTTCCATTATCTGTAATACATGTGTAATTTAGATAAGTTTCTACATTTTTATTATTCCTAAGCAATGGACCAATCAACAATCTAAAAATGTCTATTACTCAAGGTTGTTAAAGTTTTATTCTCATTTAAAAACACAACAACTTACAGAAATTCTGAAGAATTAGGTACAAATTCTTCACATACTTGGTAAATGAAAGAGATGGGGAAAGTAAAAACTTGAGGGCCATTTGGCCCCTTTGCAAAGAGCTAAACTAACTGTGTGTATTGGCATAATTTTATTTTAAGAAAAACAGTAGCAGTAAAAAGTCTAACAACTACTGGGTATCATTATCATGGTGGATACCTATGATTCTAGCACCTGGGTCGCTGAGGCAGGAGGACTCTGAGTCCAAGGCTAGCCTGTGTTATATTTGATACACCATCTCAAAAACAAAAACAAAAACAACAAAAAAAAAACCCTTTGTACCCAGGCAGAGGGCATCAGAGGCCGGGTAGAGACACTCCTCCCCACTGACGTGCTAGCCCTTCTCCTGCTAACATGGCTAACTTCCTCCCTGGGATGGTCTCATACCACCATGTTAGACAGCTTTCTCCATCTGATCGGCCAGGGGATCAGACTCTGCCAGCAGGCTCTCATTAGTCTCCCTCCTTTTAACCCTGCACAAGTCTTAGGTCAAGCTTTACTTGACACTGAAGATGCTTTAACAGAACTTGGCAAGTTTAGGGACTGGCTTCCCACGTGAAGCTAGGGTACTGCACATTCTGTCTGGGCCACGAGGCCAATGCTCAGAATGGTACTGGGTACATCAAGCATTTACTACACAGTTTCTTAACACAGACTGATGCCCTGGGCATGCCTTCATCTCTGTCCTGTGTTCTGAGGCCTCACCTTGGTAGGCTTCTTCTTCCCTTCAGTGATGTTCTCCGCCTCTTCATGCTCCTTTGCTCCCTGTGTCAGGTTAGTATAGTTGGCCATGCGGTTGAGGAGAGAAGACACCTTTGGTCTGGTGTCCATTTCTTCCTATAAAATCACAAATAATTTATGAAGGATGCTGCAATTCAGCAACAAAATAAACTTTCTACCAGGAAACAGCAAAATAAATGAGAAAATATTTCACAGATAAATATTTTAAGAAAATTCTTCAGTGAGACAACTTGTTTCTGACATTTGAAAGATTACAGAGCTGAGAGCACAGCTCAGTGAGAGTGGTTTGCCTACATGCCTGAGGACCTGGGCCAATCCCCAGCACTGAGACGGTAAAAAAGACTACACTTAATTAGGGCAGCCAGTTAAGGTAGGATACAAAGTACTGGGTTTCATTAAGGATTTTTTCATACACATGTATAATTATACTTTTGTTCGAATCTGTTCCCCTCCTTCTCTACCTTCCCACATTTCTTCTGACCCTCTTATAGGCCAGGTCCCTCCTATCCTCATTAGCCTCCTCTGCTTTCACGTTACAGGCATTCAATTACCTGTCTCCACTTCTCTGCTCCCTTAACATCTCTTCCTCCATTCTCACAGTCCGCCAGAATTCTGCTCTCTTACACACACACACACACACACACACACACACACACACAAATACACATATGGGAGAGAAAATATGTACTACTTAATAGTCGTCTTAGTTTGTCTTAATTTGCTTAACATAAAGATTTTTATTTCTAAACATTTTTCTGCAAATGTGATGATTTCATATTTCATATGGTTGATGAGAATTCCACTGTGTGGGCTGAAGGGGTGGCTCAGTGGATCAGAGCACTTGCTACTTTCCGAGAGGCCCAAGTTCAGTTCCTAGCACCCACACTGGGATGCTCACAACCACCTGTAACTCCATCACCAGGGAAATATGATCTCTCTTCTACTCTCCCCAGACACATACATAATTAAAATATTACCTCAAAGAGTGCCAGATTTTTATCAAAATACTCATCTCCTTCTTCATAGTTGGAATTGTTGAGATAAGCATTTCGAGCTTTTTTATGTCCGTCATCTGAAAAAGAAAGGCAAACATTGGCATTTTATTGGTTCTGAGACACCAGCACCAATAACTATGCTGTCTCTGTGGTAACAGAGACTATTTCAGATTCAGGTTCAGCCTGAGTGGTAGACCTCAATTAGCACTGCTTGGAGAACATGGTGTTTTTCTAGCAGGAGCAAAAGCAAATTGGGGAACCAAGGAAATCAACACGAACAATTCCTTTTCTTAATACAGAGATCTCTGGAGACAATAGAGGGCCTACCCTTAAGCTTATCCACAAATAAATAAACAAAACACACACAGTATTTCTCTCCCGGTGTGTTATACTACTCCAGATGTGGACTATTTTACAAATGATTGCTGCTGATAAAAGAAGAAAAAGCTATTTCCAGGGCCTTCTGACATTAAAAATGAAGTGTGTGTGTGTGTGTGCGCGCGCGCGTGTGTGCGCGCGCGCGCTTGCCTGTGGAGGTCAGAGGACAACTTTGTAGATTTGTTTCTCTCCTTCTACCTTTACAAGGGTCCATGGGATGAAACTCAGGTTGTCAGGCTTGCGTGCCAAGGGTCTACTGAGCTATCTCGTTGACCTCATTTCTGATGCTACCAATTACATCAGGTGATTTAATCTATGATGACGATTACTTGTTAAAATTCTTTGAGAATTACAAACAATGTATTTTGAATATATTCAAGACCCCAACCCCCTTACTCCCACCTCAAGCCTCTCATTGCTTCCAACCCAACTTTGAGACTGCTTCTTTTTTTTGACCTTCTTTTCCTGTCAGGTCCAGTTTGTGTTGCTCATCTAGTTTTGGGATTGAGGTCTGCTCTGGTATGTGATCACACTATCAAGGTCATCATCATTAAATCTCCCTTTCCCAGAAATCACTAAATGCTAATAATTACATATCCACCTTCATTCCCACTGTGCAGGAATTCTGTCTGGTTGGAGCTTGTGGAAGTCCCTTGCACACTGTCACAATCACTGTGAGTTCATATACGCTTCTGTCTGGAAAACACTGTCTCCTTTAAATTATCTACCAACTTTGGCTCTTACAGTCTTTCTGCCCCCTCCTCCACAAAGATCCCTGAGCCTTGAGATAATATATGAATGTCAAATTGAGGCTAAGCACTCTACAGTCTTTTGTTTTCTATACAGTGAGCAGCTGGAGGTCAGCAGTAGTTTTTGAAAGAGTCTCGCTATGAGGCCCAGACTGGTTTCAAACTCTTGAATATCTTTCATCAGCCCCAAAGTACTAAATTATAGATGTGTACCTTTGTGGCTAGCATCCAATATATTTTTGTATGAGCCCTTCCATATTATTTTTATGTTGAAAGAGGTATTGACTGGAATCTGATGAACTAGCTGTAAACAAGGAAGAAACAGAGCTCCCAAGACAGCAAAGTTTGTGTTAAATGAATACTTCCTACTCTTTAGCTTTTTAAATTGTGCGCAAGTTACATGATTGCACAGTCTGGCAGGAGAGAAGAGAAAAAAATGTGTAAATACGATTTAAAACTAAGGTTCCCATTACTAAAAAAATACACTCGTGTAAAAATGAAGAACATTAAAATAATTATCCATTACTTTAAATATGGAAGATGAGCCTGGCAGAGGATAGCAAGCTACTGAGATGACCTGGTCATCTAGAAGGACATGAGACTGACTTGAAGGAGTTCCTGATGGTCGTGACAGGAAAAGTGATTGACACATGAGATATTCAAAATTATATTTTTAAAAAGTCAAGTATACAAAGTTGAAAAATAACAGAAGAATCAACTTTGCTGTCTGTTTTGTGCTAACTATATTTGAGGATAATATACAGCTAAAGACTACTTTTTTATAGACACAGTGTAGCTAATCTATGATACATGGAACAGTACATAGGAAACCCTTGCCAATTTGCAAACATTAGGGGGAATAACAGATTTAGGCAATCATCATCAATGGCTGTGAAAACCATCTTGATAAAGGGCTGAAATATAACCTTCTAGTGGGCAAATGAAGAGGACCGTGAGCCTGTTGACTAACAAATCATTCGAAGCAAGACACTGCTCATCCTATGTATTCTTAGCAAAAGAAAGGAAACTCAGCCTAATTAAGCCTGTCAGGATCACAGACAATACAAAGGAGGAAAACTGTAGGCATACACAAAGACACAATCACTAAAGTCAGAATGTAGGATAATCTCATTTCTTCAGCAAATCACAGGCTAAATGAGTGAACTTTTACTGATTAAAGCTTAAGATGTGACTGAAATCTAAGATACGATCTTTGTTAGACTCCTGAAACAAATGTGAAGCGACTTTTTTTTTTTTCCTTCAGTTTTTCGAGACAGGGTTTCTCTGTGAAGGTTTCGAGCCTGTCCTGGAACTCACTCTGTAGACTAGTTCAGCCTCAATCTCAGAGAGATCCGCCCACCTCTGCCTCCCAAGTGCTGGGATTAAAGACATGTATCCCCATGGCATGGCATAGAAAGAGACATTTCTAGAACAGAGAAATGTCAGGCTGGAGAGATGGCTCAGCTGTTCTTCCAGAGGACCTGAGTTAAATTCCCAGCACCCACAGAGCAGCTCACAACCATCTGTAACTACAGTGCCAGGGGATCCAATACCCTTTTCTGGCCCATGGGTACCAGGTACACACGTAGTGCACAGGCACATATATAGACAAAGCACTCATATACATAAAATATTTTTTAAAATTTAAAAACAGGGAAATTTAAATGTATGCTAATTTAGAAATTTGCATTTATTATTATCAGGCTTCTGCGGGACCAGAAAGCACCCTGGGACTAGGGCACTGGCTCCACTGGGATCTGAGAGCACTATGCAACTAGCCTCCAGCCCCAGCGGTCTCAGAGGACAGTGAGGGGCCTGAGCTTCAGCTCTAGTGTACTCAGGGTCCCCTGAAAAACTGGGCTTTGGCTTCTTCGGTGGTCTTTAAGATTACTATGGGTGTGGGGTTTTGAATCCTGTGGTTCCAGTGGTCACTGCAGGACCCCAGAGTCTAGACTACTGTGCTCCCCCAGAAGTTACTTAAAGTCTACTGCTTTAGCTACAGGCCACAGTTAGCACCCAGACTTCAGTGGGTCTGACATTTGCTATTCTGGCCCCCAGTGGATCCACAGGATCCAGGCAATGACAGGGGTTCTAACCCCATCTGGCTGCCTTGGTTCTTCATGGGCCACTCCACCCTGGGTCTTGTTGGTACACAGCTACAGTGGGATTACCTCAGTGACTACACTTGACAACACTAAATTTCTGCAGTCCACACAGCTAAGTTTCATGCAGTTAATCCTCTAGGAAGAATCACAGAAAGCAAAACAGAATATACTCCAATGGGGAAGTCAAAACCGAAAGTCAAACATACTCTAGGAGATGCATAAAATACAACAAAGAAACACAAAGACTATGACATAGCCACCTTCCATGACCCATCCCAACCAACCACTCCCTTATGAAGGAATCCAAAACCACAGAGATAATGTCTAAGAATTCACAGTGCTGTGGAATAATCCTTTTATACACTGTAAGATTTGTCACTTGAATTGGTTTAATAAAAAGCTGACTGGCAGGTAGCCAGGCAGGAAGTATAGGCAGGACAACCAAACTAAGGATGCTGGGATTAAGAAGGAAGGAATCAGGGAGATGGCAGCATATGCAGAGGAAACAGGATGTGTGGAGAATAAGATAGCAAGCCATGAGCCAAGTGGCAGATGGTAGATAAGAAATATGGGCTATATGGGCTAATTTAAAGTTTTGGTTTTTTTTTTTGGTTTTTCGAGACAGGGTTTCTCTGTGTAGTTTTGCGCCTTTCCTGGGACTCACTTGGTAGCCCAGGCTGGCCTCGAACTCACAGAGATCCGCCTGGCTCTGCCTCCGGAGTGCTGGGATTAAAGGCGTGCGCCACCACCGCCCGGCTAATTTAAAGTTTTAAGAGTTAGCTAGTAACAAGCCTGAGCTATCAGCCGAGCATTTATAATTAATATTAAGCTTCTGAGTGGTTATTTGGGGGTGGCTGCCGGAACAGGAAAACTCTGCCTACATTCACAGTCTTACTTTTTAAAAGAATTAGTGATCATATAGAAGATTCAAACAAACAGATGGACAAATTAAGGAGATCTATCCCAGATTTCAATAAGAGAGTCTCAAAAGTGAATGAAACAGTAAATCAGAGGTGAAAGTCCAAATATAGAGGAAAAATTCAGCAAGGAGACTGAAACATTAAAAAACAAAACACTTGCGGTAAATGAGATGGTCAATCAAATAAAATCCACAATATGCCATCATGGACAGACAAGAACAAGTAGAAGAGCAGGTTTCAGAGATGGAAGACAAAGACAATACAATCATGCATATATCTTCTTGAGGTGGTAGGTGCATGAAAATGTAATTGATAGTGAAAATATAAAACTCTTAAGTGAACCTTGGAGTCACAAAAACTACTCTAACAGCATGGAAGTTTATTGAGATGTATAGGGTTTGGGACCAGACAAGTATTTTGATGGGTATGTTAATATAACTACATGATGATTTTGTGTGTTTATTATAATAACTTTTTTTTTTTCTGAGACAAGGTTTCACTATGTAGCTCTGGCTGTCCTAGAACTCACAATGTAGACCAAGCTGGCCTCAAACTCTCGGATCCACCTGCCTCTGCCTCCTGAGTGCTAGTATTAAAGGTGTATACTACACTTCTGGTCCAATAAAGTCATCTTTAAAATTGCATTAATTTACTTTTGTTGGTGTACATTTGGTCACATGTGCCACCTGCCACGTTATGTGAAGCTCAAAGACAACTTGTGGGAGTTGGTTCTCTCCTTCTAACCATGTAAGGCCCTGGGATTGAACTCTGGTCATCAGGCTTGGCAGCAAGCACCTGTATCCACTGAGCCCTTGCTACCCAATGCTAGTTTTTTAATAGTAAAAATGAAAAAACAGCCGGGCGGTGGTGGCGCACGCCTTTAATCCCAGCACTCGGGAGGCAGAGCCAGGCGGATCTCTGTGAG